ATCATCTTGATTTTCCACATAATCAGATAAAAAAATCATGAAATTTTCCTCCAAAGTCATGTTTCTGGGTCATTTTAGTATTGACTTGTTAATATTGTTATTTGTCTCTCATTGCCTTGTTCAAACTAGAAACATCAGCAAGCTGGTGCTCCTACGGCGTGATTCAATCTAGTTTTTAATGGTCGTGGCTCCGCTCCTCAATTATTCCTAAAGGGTCATGTAAATCTATATTTCTTTTTCAAGTTTTTCAAAATTCGACAGAGTAACACCGGGACAGACAGACGCCTCTAGGGTTTTATATATAAGGAAGAAATTTATTTTTCAAAAAAAATTATTCATAAAGTTCAAGACACAGAAAAATGGTTCATAAATTTTTTTAATATTTCAAGCAGAAAAAATAGTCAAAAAGAAACCCAGATAGTTAAGTTTACATGTTTTTGGTGAAGAATGAGCAAAGTCACTGTTGTTGAGAACGACGGGTGGATCGACGAAGGGAAGTCTGGAAAATATAGTTGATACTTCTCTGATTTTCTGAGTTTTGAAAAATTCAATATAATTACATTTACTGCTGGTTCTTCGGGTTCTTCTAGCTCCAAAAATGGTCATTTTTGAAAGTTTTTTACAGAAAAAATCTATCTCCTCTTTCAGTTTTTGACATTTTTAGGAGTTCTATAGCTCAAAAAAACCGCAATTATTTTCTCTGAATTTTCTATGGATGAATTTTCAATTTGTCTGCCAGAACTTTTTTTATAATTCAAAAACCTCATGAAATTGCACAAAAAAGCATTTTTGCGTTGTTTTTTGATTATAAAAAAAAGTTTTATCCGACAAATTGAAAATTCGTCTATAGAAAATGTAGAGAAAATAATTACGGTTTTTTTGAGCTATAGAACTCCTAGAAATGTCAAAAACTGAAAAAGGAGATAGATTTTTTCTGTAAAAAACTTTCAAAATGACCATTTTTGACTTTTTTCTTCCGGAAAACGACCATACATGAATCTATAAGGGGGTACAACGAATTCGAACGTTTTCAAATTCGAACAGACCTAAAATCGAACTGATTCAATTCAGAACAGTCCTTTTTTCGCACACGTAGCAGAACAGAACGCGGACAGAATCGAACTGTTACAAGTTCGACTCCTTACCACTAATTATTTTTTAAGAATCATTTGAATCATCTTGGAACTCCACAAAATCAGATGAAAAATTCTGAAATTATGGTTTTAGACCTGCAATTGTGATCGCGCCAAACTTTTTTTCTGTAGATCAAAAATTAATTTGCAGTTCGGAATTGTTCTGTGGGAGAGCGTGCAGTGGTGAATAGAAATTTTTCAGGAAACAGGGGGTGAATGAAAAAACACCCTACCTTTGAAAACTTATGTTTTTTTTGAATATTTTTCACATGTTTTATATTTGCTAATTTCGCTTATAAATTTGAGGACTATGTTTTAGAGATATTTAAAGAAGAATGCGAAAAAGGTAAGAAGAAATTACCAATAATATTATAACTATTGAGAAATCGAACTCATAGCCGGGAAATGGCAGGACTAAAAGAATTGTTTGGAGTAATTTTATGCCAAGATTCTGAATGAAGTGAGCTAATTTCAAGCATATGGATACGAAAATTTGGTTTTACCGAGAAAGGAACTTGTCTGGTCAAAAAATTTATGGAATATTCTTAATACTTCAGAAGTTTTCTAAGTGTAAGTAGCTAAACAACACCGGTAATTTGGTAACTCATATGATCTTTTTCCAGCAAAATGTCCCTAAATATAGTGAGTCTTCCTTAAAAACGTCGAGATTTTACGTCACATTGATGCCATACTTTGTCTGAAGATTTGGAAGTGCGCATATATTGCTTGATAACGTCCTATCAAATGAAGATGTAGGTGATATTAACCCTATTTACGCTAACTTAATGTTTTTCAGAGGAAGAAGACAAATGATTGATTGTGGGAGATGGAAAGTTCGAACAGAATTATGCCGCAAAAAGCTGTAGTCCGATCAACAGGCTGCTAAATAAATGAACTTTCATTAAAATTTCAATAAATCTTTTTTTAGTCATTTTACTTGATTTTGTGTTTTTTTTCAATGGAATAAAGTCGAAATGCAAAGAAAAGGGGCGGGCAAGCGCGCTCGAGAGCACCTCCAAAACTTAGGAAACAGTGTGACAACTTAGTTCCGCCAGAGTTTCGCCACTGTTTCGCTACCGCTTCACCGCTGTTTCCTAAATTGAAAGTGCTGAGGGTGTTCATGATATCCTCGGTCGAATGAATTTATGAGTTTTGTGTTTTAAAAAACTGTTTTTGCTAAATATTTACAAAAAATAAATTGCAGTCTAGGTGCGCTGAAAATATAAACCTGCTGAATACTGTGCCCAGCTAATGTGTGCACTTTTTCATCAATTGTCTGAATTCAGCCAACCTTTTTTTGCTCTAAATTTTAACCGCCCATATTCCGTTTTGTGACCGCAATGAAACCAGTTGGCCAGAGTTGGCTGCGACTTGATTTCCTGATTCTTCTTTACTTCACATCTTTTTTCCTTCATTGATTCCTCAAAATGTTCGAATGTTTAGAAATCACTATCATCGAAAATGCCGGACGACGATGAGGCGAAGAAAAAAATGCGGGTGCGCATCGAACGAGATTCATACTCGGTGCTTTTGTCTTTCAAAGATGGCGCAACACCAAGACAAGTAGAGCAAAGGATGGAGTTTGTGATATCTGATTATGCATTGTGATATTAATTCATTCAGCGATACCCTCGGTTACACCTACAATTCCAAATATCACTTGGCTGGTGTTCATGATATGTTTCAAATTCTTAATGAGCATAAGCAAGTGCAATTGATTCCGGAGGGAAAGTTCAAAATCATGTAAGTATATAAGATACGAAGCTGGAAGATTGTAAGATAATTATTTATTTCAAAAACAATACTTTTCCAGTGCGACGGAAGAGAACCACGAACTTGTAGCTCTAATCGCTAAGCAAAAAGACAAAAAGAGAAATAAAGGAAAAGGTGGAAAAGGAGGGCGTCGAGCCGTTACCTCAATGGGTCACAATAGAAATGGTTTTGGGCAAGGATTGACACTCCGATCATCGCCAAAACTCACTGCCGGAATGCGTCTATCTAGCTCAATGACCAAAACTTTCTACCCAAAAGTGAGTTTCAATTTGCGTTACTGTTATCGGCTTTCTGTTTCAGGCATCTTCGAACGGGTTCAATGTTTCTCGACCATCTTCTTCTGCGGCAAACACCCGCACCAGTGCGTTCCCAAAGCAAGGAAACAGGTTGAATAACTTTTCCAATCGGCAGTTCATGTTTGACGTTGCTCCGAAGCCACTGGTGGCTCCAAAGAAATACCCGCCGCAAATTCCTCCATCTCCACAACAACGACCACTTATGCGGCCTTCGACTTCAGCTGCATCTGTCTCTTCAATGAACAACTCGATTTTAGATAGTTCATGGTCTGATGCTACTCTGGCACCATCATCACCAAAAATAAATCCTGCCAGTCGCATTCCTTCTATTAAGGAATTCACAGACAACGCGAAGAAAATGATGTTGCGTATGTATCCGGAATCGATTCATGTAAGTCAGCTATTTTAGTTTTTTAGACTCGTTGTCATCAACGTTTTGATAACTGGAGCAGTATGCGAGCTTGAAAGCATGCAAGAAAGCGGTAATTCGCTGAATATTAATTTTCGAGTGCCTCGGTCATTTTCTGCTCATATTTCGCCAACTGAAAATTCCAACTTTTAAAAATCTCATTCCAAACATAGGGGGTATGAAAACTAAGGTATTTCAGCTCTCTGAGATGACGGACCGTTACTGTCAAGAATATGGTGTCACTATCGAACCTCTGCAAATATTCAGTAAGAGTTGGATGCTGCTTGTCAAGACAACTTTCAAAGAATTCCTTCAAATAAATGAAGGGCAAGTGTCGATGAAAGAGGACTGGTACAGGAAATACGGCTCTGTTCTCTCGCGTTCGCTTCCTGTCAAACCTATCATTATTGTTCCAAAGCCAAATCCTCCTGAACCCAGCAAACCATTCCTCCCAAGCAATCAAGGCTTCCGTTATCAGATTCCCACTCGACCGAAATCTCCCGAAGTTATTCAAAAAATGAGAGGTTCAATAAACAAATTCATCCACTACATTCTAAGTTTAACATTCTCAGGTCTCACTGTCGGAAATCGCCTTGCTTTGCATACTCCTGAAAAACCACCCGGTATAAGTTTGAAGGCATCAATGAAATCACCCCCCAAACACGAAGTTTTCTTTTCGGATCCTCAGAAAGTCACACGTGTTCAACATATCGAACCAGTTTCATCTGGGAACACTTTGTATGATCAACACCAATATGACGCTAGACACCTCCAAAACTTGAAGCACCTTCCAAAGTCCAAGGAAATGGTTCGCGATATACAATCATCCTTGAGCGGTAAAGGTTCAGCTCCTCTTCAGCCGCTTCATGGATTTTGTGAAAATTCAGACCAGTCCCTACTGAAGAAAAATCAGAAGAAAGCATCCAAGCAACTCGGAAACTTTAACGATTTACCACCGATCATTGTTACTCGTGCACCAGATGTCCATGTGATCATTCACACATCTCCAGTCCGAACTTCTACTCAGGTGCGTTCTTCTTCTCTACCTTCTCCTCCCACAAATCCACTTCGCACTCGTTCTACGGGAGTCAGCTCTAGATTATTTGGTCGTGCACTTGGTGACATAAAAAAGCAAAACGAGACGAAGGTAATTTCGGTATCATTAATTCACATTGCGTTTCATTCAGCAGATCTCGACATATCAGAGAAATGAATTAGACACGGTGGCTTATGATGCTCCTATAACTGTCACATATACGCGCAATGATCCTTCACCGTCGAAGAATGATTCAGATGATGGCTGGGGTAGTCCTTTACCATCAGAAAGAAAATTCATGGTTCGTTCTTTGAAATTTTTGTTTTTTTTGTTGTTCGAAAAAATTAGAGTTAGAGAGTAGTTTATGCGAAGTGTATACGGTAGGTATCTCGAAGCGGCAAAACGAAATAACACGCATACTATGGATACGCAGAATATTTTTTGAACATCTGTCTGCGTCTCAACTCTAATTTTTTCGGAAAACAATGATACCAAAGAAGACAATATATCAAAAGACGAATTCAGGCTCCAAATCCCGTGAAAACTACAAGCAAGATGATTCTGCCTCCAATGTCGAAAGGATCGTGCAAAGATCAAGCCCGTTCTCGCTCTGTCTCAGTTTGCAAATCAGTTTCATCGCAAGATGGAACGATGCTGGAGAAGGCTCTGGACGCTACTCTCCCAGATGACGGTTTCTGGTAATCTTCCAATGTTTTTTTAACAAATCATCCCTTTTTTGAAAATGTATGCACTGCACATTTTGTTCCGTGTTTTCTAGTTCTAAAACATTTTAACCCATGCTCCCCCTTTTTTATATGTATGCTGTCGACTATATGATTTAATGTCTAATTAAATTATTAGCAATTAAGTGTTTTGTTTTCCGAAGCTTTCCACAATGATTATTGTCTCGACACATTGGTTATTTTTGGTGCAGTCCTTATAGAAGCCACAAGAGTTGGAAGAGGCTCTCACTTGGTCTTTCTCTTCAATGTAGCCTCTTCTTCTTTATTGCCATCGCATCCTTGTTTGTATTCGAAATTTGTTGTTGTAGGGGGAACAATTAAATTGATGGATTTATAACTGCTACTATTTGATAGTTGAATTCACAATATTCAAGCTTTTCACAATGACACATTTTAAAATATATATGAAGGAATAAAAACGAGCGTCTGCGATTTTAAGAATTTTCTGATATGGCAAACGGAAGACATATTAGGTTGCCGTTCTAAATTTTATTAGGTTTAAAAAAACTTGACACTCATATCACACCGTCTCTGATTCTGACTTGATAGTGTCTACAATACGAATTGTGTATTCAAATCGATCGTCACCTTGTGTGTGTCTTACTCTTTCTCTCATGTTTTGTCAAGGCACTGTCTCTAACCCCACAAAAAGAGGGAGAACACTGCCGGTTTTCGTATCTCTTTCTGCGTCTCCACTCCTTCATTTCTATTTCGTTCTGTTCTTTTCCCTTGGTCGAGAGGAAGATGCGAGCGGATGCGTCACCCACATAAGCCTCTTCTCTGTTAAAAATTTTTAGTAGGAAAATAACAAATAATCATAGCTCTGCAATTTTATCAGGAAACGCTTCCGGAAACCTGAAAACAAGTCTTTGCAAAACAATTTTTATTGAGTATATTTGTGTCACAAGTTGATTATGGCTGAAAACTGTTTTTTTAAATCGAAATGAAATAAAATTTTATTTCGCAAACTCCCTTTCCCTTTTGAAATTACGAAACTTATCTCCAGGCATCAAAGAAAGTTAGCGTAATTCGAGAGAGAGAGAGAGAGAGAGAGTGAAAAGAGTCAACATTGAGTAGCTATCAGGTTTCTCTCTCAAGTATAGGGAAAACTCCTTGTACATGGAGTGACCAAATTGTACCAAAATAATTTTTATGTTTTCTGAATTTAATCTATATATTTTTCCTGTTTCCGGTTCCTATCGCTTTTTATTCCTATCTAAAAATCATGATTTTCAAAATCAATTATGAAATTTCAGTTAAATATACCCGATGCCTTTCCAGTTGTGCTCATTATAGTATCCTTGGTTTTTTGAGATGTCGACTGCAGTTCAATCAACTGCTGACGTAACTGCGTTTGGAGCAGGTCCAGCTGGTTCAAGAGCTTCGGATCTCATTCAATTTCAAGAAATCGTTAGTTTTAATGTTCATAAATATAAGACAACTGGAAGTCATTTAAACTTTTTCGTGTATATTAGATTATGGGCGATAACATCCACTTTTCCCTTCTCCGCCGACACTTTTATTCATTACAGATGTCCGAATCGAACGATTCTTCCTCATCTTCCAGCCAAACCAATGTTTCTGCCACCGCTGCTAGCGCTTTACCACATGGAAACCAGGATCAAAACTTTGCAGATGACTCATCGCACGTTTACACAAACATAAAGGAAATCGATGAATTGAATAGGTTAATTTTCGAAATACTTTAAAGTTTGAGCAAACAAAGTTCTAGAAGAACTAGTTCTAAAATAATGGTTGATCACTAGAAAATTTGTATTTTATTTTAATAATAGATTTTTTGAAATCAAACTGTAAATATAAGATTGTTTTGACATCTAATTTAACAAATCCGATCAGTTTCAGTCGTCCAGTTCCACCATCTCCCCGACCTGATGCACAACCGAGAAGAGATCTTCTGAACGGATGGTTTGAGTATGAAACAGATGTTGGGCGAACTTTTTTTTATAATAAAGAGACGGGTAGAAGTCAATGGATTCCGCCTAGGTTGATCAGAACGCCAAAACAAGTACAGGTAAGGAGTTGTAGAAATTGATCAAGCTCTCATAATTCTAATTAAATTTCAGGAATTCCTTCTTGCTACAAAAACAAATTTGGATGCAACCTTCAGTTTTCAAGGGTCGTCCTCTTCTGAAGAACAAAAGGAGAATACGTTAACTGAATCACAGGAAGAAAATAGAAAAAGTCAATCAGTTGAGGACGAAGAAGTTTTCGACGAGATTTGCGATGACGGAGAAGACGAATCACTTTTAGAAACATCTTCACGTCCACTTCCTGTTCCGACTTTTTCAGAAGGCGAAGAGGAAGATAAAGCAGAACAAAGTCTACCCAACGTACCTGCTCATGTGATAGATGACGGTTTTTCCGATTCTGATATTGAAGAAGAGGAACAGATTCCTACGAGTTCACGGAAAACTTCTGGATCCTCCGGTGCAATGATGCCACATGTGCACATGTCAACTTTTCAGTCGACATTTCCTAGGTAAACAGGCTTTTAATAGTCTCCTTTCACTTCAAACAAAAATTTTCAGAGCCAGAGAATTCGATAAGGAAAAACATACTCCATATATGATTCCTCCAGATGCTAACGAATCATCAAAAACTCCTAGCTCAATTCGTGTTCGTCGTCCATCACCTTCCAGTTTACGTTCAGTTTCTTTCCAAAACAAATGTACAGTGCTGAAAAATGTTCCCATGCCACAAGTTCTTCCCATGTCGTCTGCAAGTTTCGAACATCCACATAGCCATAGTACACCAGATCGGCCATCTTACGCTGAAGAATTCTCTGATCCCACACCATCATCACGATGTGAAGAGAGAAGAGGAAGCAGTGAAGGACGGGAACCTGTTCGAACGATTAGATGTGGTGATATGGAAAGAAGTGAAAAAGAAGAGCCTTTGGAGAAGTTATCGAAACCGAAAAAAAGAGAATGGATTATGAATTACATGTACCTTACAACAGCGCATCTTATTTTGTACAAAGATCAGAAAAGTGCCGAGGTACACATGAAAATGTTATATAATAAACAACTATCAGAATGGTTTCAGAAACACGGTAAACACTACGACGCTCCACAAGGAGTTTGGGATCTACGCGGCGCTACCATCTCCTGGTACCAAGATGATCGTGATGTACAGCGAAAGAAACAACGGAAATACATTCAATTAGAGTTGTGCAACACAAAAAAGTACCTGTTGAGAGGTTCCAATGACACCGAAGTCAGTGAATGGTACAAATCTCTGGAAGAGGTCGTCGCGAAACTGGTAAGTTTTGGAATTCGGGAGAAGAAAATGTGTTTTCTCTCTTTTCACCTCCCCCCCCCCCCAAGATCTAAAAATGAGAGTAACAATTAGCGGATTATTCCTTACCGACGATTAGCTACTCAATCGACTTGTTTCCAACTTTTTAAAAAAATGAAATTCAACAAAAGGCCAAGGTTGCCTTGAATTCCAAAACTTTTTATTTGTGTCAATTTTTGACCGAATACAATCATGTGGCACACCGCTTGCTCGAGAGTTAAAATGCTCAGTTTACAGAGATCGACCAGCGAGGTAAAATGTTCGAAAAAAATTATTTTGCATTATTTATGAACACTGTGTATGGTTTATAAGTTTTCAGCCTGCACCAGGATCGTCAACTCAACCAATGATTGATGTGACTAATAGTGTTGCTCGTAATCCGTCATACATCGGCAGCACCCGTCCACTTTCTCATGCATTGATTCCCATGTAAGCATTTTTCATAAAAAACAACCTAGAAACAAAACGAAATATTTTATTCTGTCATTCCAACTAAAATGATTTGTTTTCTCAGAAGTCGGAGTATGCGTCGACGGGATCATCCGATGTCACAATCTGCAATTGAATCAATGTCGACTAGTGCAGCTGTGGATGAATCTAGACCTTCAAAAGAAACGATTCTCGAGAAGTTGAGAAGATTCTTCCGAACTCGGCCAACGGTGGAAAGTCTGAAAGAAAAGGGAATTTACAAACGTATGATTAACATTTGGGAGAAATAATGTCAAATAATGATTTTCAGCGGAGCCAGTATTTGGATCAACTCTATTTGCAATCTGTCAACATGAAAACTCGCTAGTACCAAAGTTTATCAGAGTTATCACAGAAGTTATAGAGAGTAAAGGGCTGGAAACAGATGGGATTTACAGGTAAAATTTTCGTATCACCTATTCTTTATTAATGTTTTGGTTTCAGAGTCAGTGGAAATCTCTCGGCAGTTCAAAAAATTCGATGTCAAGCAGACCAAGACAACTACAGAGCTCTTGTTGCTGAAGAAGATATCCACGTCCTAACTGGTGCTCTCAAATTGTTCTTCCGTGAGCTCTCGGAGCCACTTTTCCCTATATCACTGCATAAAGAGTACACTGCAGCAATGCGTAAGCTTACAACCCAATTACTGTAAAGTGTGAATTTTGGGGTTTCAGAAATGCCAAATGCGACAAGTCGCTTCAAGAAGTTCGAGGAGCTTCTCAATCGTCTACCAAACGAAAACAGAGAAACTTTGAAAATGCTGCTGCGTCATTTGAATCGTGTTGCTTCGCATTCGTCGCAAAATCGGATGCAGCAACATAACCTTGCCATTGTTTTTGGCCCAACTTTGTTTCACAATGGAGATGGAGCAGTTAACTCTGCTTCGAAAAACAAGAAAGCCGGCAAGAAAACAAAAAGTTCCAAGAAGGTTAGATTTTCAGTTTTTGATTATTCCAGAGCACTGTGGTTCTTCAAAAAAAAAAGAGAATTTGTTAAATATTCGATAATTACAGGACGAGCCACAGCCCACGCCGATCCAATCTAACTCCCATCTTGCGTTCTCAATGATAATGCAGTCTCAAATCGTTCAGTATCTTCTCGAATCTGCAAACAAATTCGACATTCTAAAAGCTCCAGTAAATATTGGACGATAATCGAAACCATTTTCAATTTCTCTCTGATTCATTTCCTGGTTTTACCGTTTTGTATTGTTGTTTCCATCGTTCACTTTGGGTGTCTTATTTCAAGATGGGTACTTTCATCACTTTCTTATCTCGTTCAGTATGATTCTCGCCTTTTTGATGAGTATATTGTAAATATCGAATCTTTTCCGTCTATTCACTTTCAAAAACATTTTCCAGCACTAGTCCATTCTTAAATGATCCGTTTGTCTACAGTCGCCGTATTTATGTATATATGCTTTACACAGTTTATTATGTTCGTTTTAAATTTTGCTTCTCTAGAGTACGCTCAGACCTGAATAAATTATGATAATTGTCATACTCCAATGCGATGAACTCGTTGATTCAGGTATATTCCGTATGACACTAGTTATCATTTCGAAGATAATGACCTGAATTAATGTTTCATTTAAATTAGATGCCGGACAAAAAAGTTCTATGGATGCTCGATGAGCTCGAAGGTTTCGAGAAGCCTAAAATCAAATTGGAGCAGTATGCCACATCATCTGAACTTGCTGGTAAAATTTTGACGAAACCAGAATCTAAAACTTGAAAAAAGGAATATATTATATTATTGTTGTGCGAAAAAATTGGAGCGAGAGAGTATTTTTTGCAGTCTGAATACGGTCGGCCCCTCGAAGCGACAAGCCTAAATAGCGCATATTCGGTGGAGACGCAGAGAAATATTTCGATTAACTGTCTGCGTCTCAACTCCAATTTTTTCGGACAACAATAACAATGCCAATTTTGTTCAAAAATTTACAAAAGTTATTCTGATACAAAAAGTCGGGGCTAAACACAAACAGCACAACGACAGCTACCGTAATTTAAAATTTTTTCAAGTTATTCAGAAAAGGCGGTTAATAAATATTTTTAACAGTGAAAAAGTTGACTGAAAGCGCACGAAAACCGAGAAAATGAATCCGGAAAATAAACGTATTTTTAGGTTACTGTAGTTGTCGTTAAGGGAACTTCGGCCACGTTTCTTTCCCTCCCATTTTTTGTACCAGAATAACAGTTACAAAAATTTACGAGTTTCGAGAAAATAACTTTTTAGTGTCAATGATGGAGATGATCGATGAAACCGTTGGATTAGATGGAGTCAAGTTAGTAGACATTGGATGTGGATGTGGAATGTTGATGACAACAGCAGCAACTTTATACGATCTCAAATCAGTCGTAGGAATAGATATTGATGAGGATGCTCTGAAGATATGCGCGAAAAATCTCGAAACCGCCGATATTCAGGAAAAGTAATAAAAATAATACAGTTAGAGTTCATAAACGTCATTGCTTTAGCTGCGACCTCCTTCAGATGGACGTTCTCGATCCAGAAGCAAAATTACCACAAGGGGAATTCGATGTAGCTGTTATCAATCCACCGTTTGGGACTAAAAATAATGCAGGCTAGTTGTCATATCAGTTTTCGTCATTTTGATTTGGAAAGTTCTAGGTATTGATATGAAATTCGTCAAAATTGGCATTGAGCTGGTTCGACCCGGTGGAAGTGTTTTTTCATTGCACAAATCATCCACCAGAAATTACATCTTGAAAACAGCAAATAAATGGGAAGATCTCGAAGACGTTTGTGATTAACTTGATCCCAGATTTATCAGAAAAAATTTCAGGTGGAAGCTTGTGCTCAAATGCGATGGAAACTTTCAGCTACATATAAATTTCATAAAGAAAAATCAGTGGATATTGATGTGGATTTGATTCATTTCAAGAAAACGAACCCTGATAAAAAGGAAGAAAAACGTTCGGAATAATCATAATATGTATTACTCAATTATTGTTTGTTATTTAAATATAGTTGTTTCATGTTTTCATCGAATTTAAAGAGTTCTCCAACATAATTTTTTTCAATTCTGTAATTCTGTGTTTCTTCATTGATTTCCAACAAAATTAGGAAAAAAAGAAAAAGAAAAATCACAATAAATAAAAGCTCTACATAGGGCAATAGGGTGGAATATAAACTATTAAATGATTGGAGAGGGATCTGGTAAGTTATTGGAATGAGATTCCTATGGGAAAAGAATTAGGGCATATATTATAATCTGGTGGGTATGTGAAAGTAGAAATTGTACAAAGAATATTTGAAAATAACCGTTTTCGATGTGAGACTGAAAGTATTATGGAGCGGCAGAAATTGTGTTGTGCTTCAGACATCTTAGAGTCGTATCTTCTGCTTGTCACGACGATCCTTCGCGCGTCTGAAAGTTATTATATTATTCAAGGTTAGAATTTACGAAAATTCAAAAACATTCTCGAAGCCATCACAGGTGTCTCTATAATACTAGATGAGGTCAAAAGAGCCGCCGCTTATAAAAAAGAATTCAAAGAGGGAGAGCTCGAGAATAAAAGAAAGCATCAATCTTCCGTGTATCTCTATTCATTTGCCCCGTTTAATAACCGGCATGGTTCCTCCTTCTGTTACCTTCCTCCTTCTGACGATGGACATGTCTGTTTGATCACATCGAGTCGGAAGGAAAGGAGATGGGCACAATCATTTCCATTTTACTGCCCTATGGGAAATTGCCGGCATCTATGGGATGATTCTATTGCACCCATAAATCTATCGATGCCAGCAAAAGTTGTCAAACAAGGTAGCAGAAAATGTCTGCTGCCCAGGCATCACCATGTTTCAAGAACCATGACATTTGCGAGCAGATATACAGTTCTCAGATTCCCAGGAGCTCAAAATTCCAGTTCCTCGTTTACCCCCTCCACAATTCGTTCAAAATTGCAAATCAGACCCACGTCGATCGAATCGGTTACTCTCTACAGTAATCCCAATTAGACAGTCATAAAAGAGACCAATTAACAAACTTCTTCCTCTTCTACCCTGCATAAAGAGCGCACGCATCTCAGATTGTGGCCAACAATTACACAATTTTACGATTCTTTAATTCCATGGAACTATCTATTTACGTGTGAGAAGAGACCACTGCTTCACGAAAAAAGGGGATATGGTAGGAGACAGGAATCCCTCACAAGAGAAAGATCAACGCAGTCTGAGAATCATCAGAAGCATCTAAGTATAGAGCAAACAACACATTTTGCTCTAAAAGACAGATTCAGAGGACAGAATGAATTCAAATGAGTTTGTGCAACATCATCCATGTTAATTAGATGACGTAAAGAAGGATGTGTCAATATTTGGGTTAACACCAGAGCTAAATAAAAGAGTTTCTATTAAAACCTAGAAATTTTTAGAAACTTGAAAACATACACACGTCTTGTAAATGAGCGCAAACGTGAATACCGTAATCCTACAGTAACATTGGCGTTGGTCTCGACGCGAAAGCTTCAAAATTAACTGCTGAGTCTCTACTCAGCGGTTCATTTCATCGGAAGAAGCGCGGAAAAACTTATTTAAAAAAACGTTCCGGATAAAGTACAGTAGTTACATGGTACCAAATTTGTCACCTAGATCATCACAAAGTATTCAAAAGATACGGGGGAAGACATGCGCAATTCCTTCACGGCTAAAGAAGGGTATCCTATCTACTCACGACACGGGGCAAATTGCGTAAGCATCGTAACTGTCACCTACACCGCCCTTTCATCTCCAAATTCTATCAGTAACTTTTTATTTTTTCAATGATCTCAAATTTGCAGTCATCAATCAAAATATCACTACTTGGATAATAATGGGAGGTTAGAGACAAAATAAACTAACCGATTCTGGAACCAAATTTTGATTTGTCGTTCTGTCAAGCTCAGCATTGTTGACAGCTGAGACTTCCGATCCGAAGTTATGAAAGCCGATGTGTGGAACTCTTTCTCCAACTCCAATCGTTGATAATCTGAGTAAACCATTCGATACTTGTCGGCCGTCCGCACACGAACATCTGAAATTGAAAGTGTTCAGATAGAACTACTTCGAGGAGTTCTGCCACATTCTTATCGATACCAGTCTAATAGAATCGAGTTATGAAGAGCCAGGTCATAAACATCTCTTTTCCACTCCTCAATCATTGATAAGAAATATAGATAGCGGCTTCTTTTCTCAAAAGGAGCCGCTTGACGACACAATCTTCATACTGTAATAAAAATAGAAAACTATTAAACTCACTGTTCGTTCCTGGGCCTGTCGGCAAGGACTTCGTGTCACTGCTTGCTCTCCGTTCCTTTCCAGCGCTACCCAGTGGCATTTTCCAGGGGAACGGCTGCAAATTTTCAGAAGTATTATTTTAGATAAAACCTCAGTAGTTCCTCACCTGTTGATAGTCCATGAAAGGCCAAACGGATTGTTGGTAACATGTTGCCGCTCTCATCTGATAGTTAGCGGCAGCGGCAGCCGCCGCTTGAAGATCCGACGATGAACTGGACGCCCCAATGCCAGAAGACGTCGATGGGAATGGAGTCAAGTCGTTTGGAGATGGATACATTCCACTATCACTGCTACTGCTTCCGTTCGATAGTGGAGGCTTCACTTCAACAACTTCCGCCGTTGGGAGTATTTGGCCGTTGGTTGATAACTGGGGAAGTGCGAATGTTGAGTAGATGTCGGAATGACCCTTAAATTGAAAACAGTTTTGAAAACAACATAGTGTTTTTTTGAACTTACATAGAATCCTGCTTCGCCCATCTGTGGCCATCTTCCATAGAGCTGTGGATCGAACGAAGGTTGTAACATTTTATCTCTAAACAACGAAAATATTTATGTGAGAAATGACATTTTGAAGAAGACGGATACAAAGTAAAATCTTGAAAGCTTAGAATCTTCTTAATCAAGAATTCTCGACAATTGATACCCGCCTATTACCCTCTTCGACACCTCACCACCTCATTCCGACAGTCGCAGCGTGGGTGGGCGGAGTCTCAGCTTCCAATGCGGTGCTGGGGCGGGCGGGGTCGCATGTGCATCTCTACAGTAACCGTACCGAAAGAGACAGAGAATTTACATATAACTTCCGTAGCAAATTTCTCTAAAGGGCGACAATATTTGAGAAGACGTGGAAGGCAAATATTTTGAAGGATGCCCAACGATAGAAAAGGACATGGATTTACAATCGCGCGTTATATTAGAAATTATAATTTCGCATTGATTGCTAAAGACCTAGAGCCTGGAGAGGAACACACAGTATTGAACTAACCTTAGCGGTTGTGCATTCATGAACGGCATCATTTGATAGTTAGGCCATGCAACGTTGTTAACATTGGTTGGTGACGACGAAGACGAAGAAGAATCGTTCTCAGAAAACTCGGATTTGACATCGACAGACATTCTGTGAACACAAATGATTTCAAAGCCTTTTTATAATCAGCTAGAAGAAGATAAAACTCAAATCGTTTTAGATGCTTTGATAAAAATGGAAACAATGAACGCTATTATCCTGAAACATGCCTTGGTGGCCGAGCTCCGCCTCCAGACATCCCGAGCCTTCAGATGAGAGGGCGGGGTTAAAAAGGATGACGGGGAAAAATGATTTATTTACGACTAAGAGGGCGACACAGATGAGCAGATCTCATTTCTGATTAGTATCTAGGAACGGTAGATGTGCATAAACCACGGCGAGGCTGGTTTCGAGCAAACCCAAAAATATCAAGAGCAAATTGGGGCAAAAAAAAAGAAAAAGAAGAAAATGTTCAAAGTCTCTCAAAAAAACTCCCGCTTCTTTTTTCATTGAATCCAAACTATTCCCGCAATTTTACGACTCACCTGCGATTTGATCTACCCGTCCAAATAATTTCTAGTCTAGCCGGATACGGTAGCATAAATAAACTAGGTTCCCAATAAATGTTCATGGAAAAAGAAGAATAATCAGCTAAATGATTTTCGAAAAATTAGAATGTCGAAAATCAAAATTGGATGCTACACTTGTGACTGACAGCTGCATGTGGAAGAGCATGCGAAAAACTACAGTAACCCTTAAAGATGCATTGTTATCATTGAAATTTGAGTTATGACTGCAGAAGAGATTGGAATTTGGAAAATTAAAGATTTATTCTGATTCTTGACATTTTTTCAGAAGATGTGAAAGTTGGTGTCACTAGTTAGCCGGTTCACAAGTACTCGGTGGCAGTGATAATGATTATTTGATATGTGAGACAAGGAGTTGCGAATGAAAGGAGAAATGACCATAAAATTTTTATGATCTGGGAAAACGAAAAGGGGCTCCGTACCGACACAAATCTTGATTCTTTGTATTTTTGAGGCTCCAATTTCAATTGAGGTCATTCCGTATCAGTATCAGTGCTGACCTGTATTTGACCCGATTGTTTATTACGTAATATCTTTGCTCTTTGTGCAACAATGGTACCGCCCGCGTTTCTTCCCCGTATTTATTGCCAGCCCACTGTAACCTAGCTGGTATTGATAGTATTATTCTTGTCAGGTGGCGATGAACCTTGTGGTTGTTTCATGTAAAAGTGCATAGTCGGTCTAGCAGCGGACATGGCTACGGTTAAAGAAAATGCAAACGCCTTCGATACCGTACCTCGAAATTATTCCGAATGTTTCCCTTAATTTTTCCCTGGTTTTTGTCCATTTTCTTCTGATTCTCAAGAATCTACGATGGAATTTCCGCATAAAACAGAAATCAGCAAAAAATAGGTCAGCAATAATTAGTTAAGAGGTATGGTATTGAAGGCTTTTTTCTGCCGGATCGACGATGCGCCTTTAAATGAAAACTCGGTCACAATGTTCAACGCCACCAGACAAGAACATAATGAACTAACTATAAGAACCAATTTATTTTTAAACGAAAAAGAAAAATGTGAACAAGTGTTGACATAGTACAGCAATCAAAAAGCAAGTATTATCAAATCGAAGATAAACTACTTATTTCTTAGATTTCGACTTTTTACGTTGATTTTCTTGATGCTCTGGAAGACACTCATCATGGAAAGTATGAAAGTGATAGATGAGCTTCTTCTCAGAATTGAATGATGTTTCACAGTTATCACATTTATAGTTGCTGAATTTGTTGAGAGTCTGAAATGTTTAATTTTTTAATTTTTTCTTTCAAAAATCCCCCACTTTATCGTATGAGTGACCCTTTTCGACAAGCGTCTGATCAATGTAAACATGTTTTCTGAAACTAGTAAAGCTTAATCGAAAGCAAACTTCTGAAAGAATACCTTGGGCGCTTGATTGCCACGTGGTTCTCATCAGACTCCTTCGGATTCATAACAGGTTGACCCATAGAGCTAGAAGCCCTTTTGATAACTTGAGACTTTTCGATCGTCAGTTTTTTGGATCTGGTTTGCATAGATGGAGGTCCAGATTGAACTTCTTGGGGATTCAAAATCTCTGACGCATTGGAACAATCAGATGTGGAAGGGCCAGTATTAACAGAAATGGGATCCGGAAGAGATACGTCCACTTTTCGAGCAGCAGAATCGAACATCATTGCGATTTTATCAAGAAACATGGAAAGAGTCTCCGAGTGTTTCTCTTCGGCTCTCATTCGCTCTTTTTTGTGCTCATCTTCCTTTCTTTTTCGCTCCGCTATGTTTTCCTCTTGCAGTTTTATTAGAGCAGAGCTCATTGTCATTGCAGATTGAGCCAATGGAGCGAAGTAGGTTGCCTGAGCACTGATCACATCCATGGATTTTATCAACTAAAATATAGTAAATTAATTATTGAAAAAACAAACCGGTTGAAAACTTACAGCTTGTTCGAAACTAAGTGCAGGTTGAGTTACCAATAAATGATTCGGTGGTGGTGGATATGAAGGAATAGTTGGATGTGGTCTCGGATTATAACAAGTAGAAAAGTTTCTCGACATCCCAGGATGAGTCATTTGTTGTCCTGGATACATTGTTGGAGGTAGGGAGACTTGAAGATTAGCAGGTGGCCCGTTTTCGTGTGTCTGTGAGAAGAAAGGAAGGTATTATTACCAGATATTATGACATACCAAAGGTGCATTCGTTCGTTGGCTCAGCTTGGGAATTTTAGCTTTCTCCATTTTCAAAAGAATTCAGGAAGTTTTTCGAAAGACCTCAAAGGTTCTAGCTGGATGATGTGGAGAGTTAACATGTCAGTAGGTTATGGAAATACAACCCAACTTGGAACACGCAATAGTATTGGTGACCCTTTTTTTTTGGACTAATCATGATACATTTTTCTGAAGAGTGTGTTGAAAACCCAAACAATTCATGGAATATTTTTTTAGAAACTGTATTTTCTCATAGCGGCGCAACCACTTGTATTGTCTTGTTCTTCTTAAGGATTAGTGTGCGGCAAAACATGTGAACCCTTTTTCCTTCTTCTTCTTTTCTTCTGTATAATTTGAGTGTTCGTTCGTCTTTTTTTGTAATAGGATACCGATATTTATGGATACGCTGAGGCTCAGCTTGATTCTCGGTTTTACGATCGACTTGCGGAAGGAATAAAGAAAAAGCCTCCGCCCGTGCTCCATGGGGTGTCTGCTCTCTGATTTCTTTTCGCGCATCTTTTGACACAAAGCCGACGAATAGCGAATTGATATAAACAATTAGGATGACCTTTTCTCTAATGGTTTTATTATACAGGAAACATCAGAAGCAGAGGGGTATAATGCAAGAGATGCACAAAAATGATCACGATCCCTTTTTATGATTTTCTTGTCTCCAAATACTTTTGGATTTCGGAGGAAAGTTGTTGCATAGCCTTGTCCAGTCCATCTCCAGTCAATGCGCATGTTGAGTGAATGGACCAAGTACCGCTTCGATGCAGATTCAATCCTTAAACTATTTATTTTCTAACCGTTTCATATATATCCTTACCGAGAGCTGCTGTGATGTCGGCACATGTCATAGCTCCAGGAATGTCCATTTTGTTGGCAAGGATTACGACTGGAATCTGAAGAAAAAAGTTGGGGGATTTCCAGAACATCAAGTTTCTTCTGGGAAAAATAGACAGTTTTATGATATTCCTCTGTCTGTCGAACATTCAAGTTCGGCCTGTCCTTTTCTCAAATACATCTTGATAATGAATCTGTAACAAAACTGATCTTTAGATCTTACCCCGCGGGAAGCAACGTCTTTGTGGTCCAGCACTAACCACAACTCGTCCTTTAGCAATTCCATTCGGACCCGATCAGAGCTGTCCAGAACGAAAATCACTCCTTGTGATGAGTGAAAGTAGCTTTCCCAAGTGCTTCGGTATTTCACTAGAATTTGAAAATATTGCAGTCCTCGTGATGTATTTTACTCACTCTGTCCAGCCATATCAAATGCATGAAAACTGAGATTCTGAGTACTGAAGTTGGTAACCACATGACCTACAGTTGGCACTATCTGCTGACTTCTTGTCTCTGGTGTCTTCAATTGATTCAGAATTGTTGTCTGCAATCATTAGAATATTTCAATTACTTTTTTCGTTTTCTAATCAACCTTTCCTGAATTGTCAAGCCCTACGACTACAATGTTCACATCCTTCTTGCCCATGCCGAACAAATTCGAAAGTGATGACAGAAATCCCATTGTCTTCTGAATAGTATTTTAAAAGGTGATCAATCGGTTGTCAATAACGGAAAAGTGACAGAATGACCTCTTCGGCAAAAGTTCAAATAAGATTCGAAGAAAGTGAAGACAGATGGTTAGAGGGCGTAACATAAGGAGAAAATGGAAGGTTTTGATTTTTAAACATTTTATAGAGCTGTTTTATAATAATGTAGAATTTAGAAGAGGATTTTCAGGCTCCTTCGAGACTGCGCCACTTCGAAACCAGTCATTTCGAAACCGTAGTAATAAAGGTGAATGGATAAATTTCAGACTACAAAAATAATTTTAGGGTTTTCACATATGCTTGTTCTGATATAACGCATTCTGTAATCCGAAAATCCGAAACTCAAATTTTTCAAAAAACACTTTCTTCGGATTTTTTGAGTTTCCGAATGTGTTACATCAGAAAATGCATATTCAAAAACCCTAAACTTGTTTTTTCAGTTTGAAATTTATCCATTCTCCTGTATCACGGTTTCGAAATGGCCGGTGGCTGGTTTCGACTAGTTTCGAACTGTCGAAGTTTCGAAGTGACGCGGAGCCGCTTTTCATCATCTTTTTTTTATAATACCAAGAATATATATGGTACTGATAAATCGGAACTGTGGAAGAGAAACGCCGGTGGCCGTGGCGGAAGGCTCACCAACGACAACTACCGTAACCTAAAATTATTTTTATTTTCCGATTTTTTGGGGGAAAAATAACAGAAAACTCGGCGAAAACCAGTGGAAAACGAGAAAATAAATACGGAAAAACATTTTTAGGTTACGGTAGTTGTCGTTTTTCCACAGTTCCGATTTTTTGTGCCAGTATAATACTGTATCTGATTTTGCTTGAATTTTTAGTAAGCCGGCAAATATGAAATATCACTTTTTCCATACATAAAAATATCCTGTACATAACACTAGAAGCATGTTTTCCCTAGAAAAATTGCGCAACTCGATCCTCTTTTGACGATTTTCCGTCTGTCTCGATTCTTGGTCTAATCCGGTTAATAGAAACGGGATTATACAGGAAAGGGTACCGATACGCATAAATTTCCGAACTGAAGGCGGCTGGTAATAAAAAATGGTCCGGTGTTGCTCAATTTGGTGCGCAACATCCACCGAAAACCGAAGAAAGGAAAAGAAAAAAAACCAGCTTGAAAGTAAGGAGAGGAAAGAGAAAAAAAGAAAAAGGAGAAGTCGATATTTTCTTTTCCCGTTCTTCGAAAAGGGTTACCATAGAAACGAGCACGACGTTCCCGATGAGAGAATAGGGAAGAAGAGAAAAGAAGAAGTCAGCCAAAAAGTTTATTATCATAATGTGTACACATTTTATTGTTGACCCGTTTCTGTTTTCTGCTCTTCCAACTTCCGTAGCTCCTTTTCTTTTGCTTCTTGTGGATCCAGTCGTTCAAGAAGAATCGATCCAAATTTCGAAACAATGGAGAAAAATACGAAACATCCGATTATGATAACAGCTAAAAAAACAATCATTATGAAAAAAAAGTGTATTAATTTCCAAGGACCCCGTTTACCTTGAAGGAGAGAACACCGTCAAACCTGCGATACAAGGTGTCCTAACTTTTAACTTCGAACCAGTTTATCTATTTTTTTCGAACCAATTTATCTCTTTTTTTCGAACCAATTTATCTCGATTTTCCATTACAGGTTTTACGGTAGTTTGAAAGTTAATTTGCAAAAAGATATGGGTCATATAGTTAGAAAAATAGAGTTTCCAGAAACAGAAATAAAATCGAAGTTTTTTGCGGGACACAGGAAACAATTTTTTCCTCTCAAAACGAAACTTATCGGACTTTGGCGACCTATGTCTTTTTTAGGCTGATTCTCAGACTATCCTCCAATTAAATTTCTTGCACAGCAAATTTAATCGGTTAACAGTTCAGCTCGAAATAAAAAAAGATATGAAGAAAAATAACTAAATATTTCAGAGAAGGAGGACGATCATCACATTTTTTGCTATAAGACTACTAGGATATGTTGCAACTGTCGATAAACACGCTCTAATAAAAAATTGCACTCACCTCCAACAGTCATCAATTGCCAACCAGGTTTTGTAAACAAGAATCCTAACAAAGCAATTGCTTCCAGAATATATACAAAACTCGCAATTAACTGCCGATGTAAATGAGATCCTAAAAATGATCCAATAGGTCCGCCACAAGCAGAAATTGGAACAGTAACGGAAAAATATCTCCATGCCATAATGTCAATGTCTCCCATCATAACCGCTCTGTAGTAGAATCCAAAAACGGCAATAGTTCCCTTCAAGACGACGGTTGTTGGAGTGGCAGTCTTCTCAGTGACACGGAAAAGGAGAGTAATGACGGAGAAGATGCAGATGTCAATTCCAGATCCTGCGAAAGCGTCGAAGATTCCTCCAATAATTCCAGTGAAGAAGAGAACCCATCCTTTCCAGGCACAAAATTCTGGAATCTCGCGGAATGTGGGTCTCTTCTTTTGGGCGTTCAGGATTCCGAGAGACAATGCAAATGCCGTCCAAATAGAGACAAAAAGCATTTTCTTTTGTGGTCCATTGAAAATTGGATCAATCCAGTGAACACCAATGACAAAACCAGGAACTGCCCCAAGACATCCCAATATTACTGCTCGAGTTTCAAATTTCACCCTCATGAAAAGAACACAAACAAGAGCAGAAGTCATCCCTGGAAATAAGATACTTTGAAGTTTTTATCCTGGAATACTACACCTATACTCTGCATCATCAGCGCAAAATCTCTAGCAATTGTTGGATCAATGTGAAGGGCAAGAGTCATTACAGGAAAGGCAACAGCTCCAGCTCCTTCAGAAGTCATTCCACCAATGATTGAGCCGAGAATCATGACAACTGGCATATGCCAGTATTCTAGATAGTATTGAAACAAATCATATCGAATTGCAATGGACCACCAAATTATCTTAAAACCATTTTTCATAGAGAATAATTCTAAGGACCAAATAAAAATCTAAGGACCAAAAATAATCCTAAGGACCAAAGTAACCGACTAGAGAAGATAATTCTTTCTAGATTATGCGGATTGGCTTTTAACCATTTTTAACCATTATTCTTTAGGTGTGAAAATTCAGAAAAAAAAACTCACATGAATAAAAGTCATCGGTAACAACATGGCTATCCATTTTCGGTACTTTATAAATACTAAATCGTTAATCGTAGGATTTTCTGGTAATTGTTCGACTTTTTCTGCCTGCTCAGCATCCAGAGATTGTCCTAAAAAAGGAGGATTCTCTCAGTATTTCACACATCACTCACCTTCTAATAAATACTTTTTGCACCAAATTTTTATAGTCTGTCCTGCTGGCATCTTGCTATCCGTTGGTTTTTGATTCATTACAGTACTTTTCACATTTTCTGAATACAGCTGAACCATATTTCAAGAATGACTATGAACTGACCCCTTTCTTTTTATACTCTCCTAAAGGAAACTGTGAATAGACACAAACGGAAATGATAACAAAATGAATTTGTCGTTGAACGATGAAAGTTGAAAGACCAATCGTCTGAGTTTCCATGATTGTCACAGTGTTTTTCAAATTGATAAACGACGAAACCCGGCTAGATTTGAATGAATTCTCGGTCGACAGAAAGAGAGAAAATGGCTATTTTTAGGAGATGAAAAGTCATTTTTTGATTCTTTTTATTTTGATTTGATCAGTATCTCCGATGGAGACACTATTTGAACCTGATAAAACGTTATTGGATCTCATCGAGAATACTTTTTCTAAATCTGTGACGTTTATAAAACTATTGCAGGAGTAAATGAAAAGAAAATTTAACTCTCGAAAATTGGAATACTTCCTTACTAAATTGAAGTTATGAAACTAACATTAAGAATTTCCAGAGAAAAAAAAACGAGTTTAAAAGGCTACCAGTTGATAATTACTAAATATTTTTTGGAACAATCATGTTTTTAGTCTTAGGCCCCGAAAAAACATTTTTTTTTGGAAGTTTTGAAAGAAAGACCGCAAAAAAGTTTTCGATTTTTGACTGGAATCCTGGGATGTAATAAGAATTATTTGAGAGTATTATAAAAACGTATTTTCGAAATATCTTCAGCTTTCGATATTTCTCGATTTTTGGTTTTAATATCCGAAAAGTATTTCACCAAACTTTTTTCAGTAACCGACCCAAAAAAAAAAACGAAAAAAATTACATTGTTTTCAAAATTTAACTATTCAAGTTTATTTCTTATCAGATATTCCTTACTGATACAAATTGTACATCTGAGTAGTACTTTGTTCATTCAGAAACTGAAAATCTTTAAAAATATAACTGGAAAACCCAGAATTTTTAAAATTTAAAGGCAACTCCGCTGATGAAAATTAAGATTTTCTCAATTAGGACACTTGGATCTATGGAAATATTTTAAGTTTTCCCAATCACAAACCTCAGAAAACATCATTTGAAACTTTTATGTACATAAATGTACCGATTCAAAAAATGACGCTGAGCGAAACAGATTACTCAAAAAAAGGATGTCGGCGATGTCGGCAGATTATGTGAATTATCTGATCAAAGATTCAAAAATACAAACCGTTGAGTTTTGTTTCAATCTGCTGTTTTTCCTGATTCTTAATGCGTCATTTTGAAGAAATGTGTCTTTAGAAAGTTTCGAAAACTTCAAAAGTACTCATAAATTGTATTCTGTAAATTGCTGACGGTCAAAATGTATTCGTCAAAACTATTATTTAATTTTTTGTGATTTTGCGAAAAAGATATTTCGGAACCATTATTTTTCACACTTTTTATTTAGAAATACTGTATTCAGAGATCACAAAAAATGTCCACCTAGAGAGAAAATGAAATATCTAAACACAAAAAAAAAGAGAAAATGGTCAAAGGAAGAAAACCCGTTGATGTCAAATGGTTTGTCAAAGGATGATAACTAAAAGGGAAGGGAAACGTTTAATAAGCTGATGTGATTCCGTTTTTCTGAGCTTCTTTTTGTTGACGAGCCTCGATGCGGTTCATGAGAATGGATCCAGCTTTGGAGAGAGCAGAGAAGAAAACGAATCCTCCGAGAATGATGCAACCTGGAAATGAGATAATAAAAACATGAACACATTTTAAAAAATGATATTCACTCACCTCCAACAGCAATCAATTGCCATGCTGGTCTTGTGAAAAGGAATCCAACGAGAGCAATTGCCTCAAGAACGTAGACGAATCCAGCTACGACTTGACGATGAAGATGGGATCCCAAGAATGATCCAATTGGTCCAGTTGCAGCAGAAACTGGAACGGAAACTGCGAAATATCTCCATGCCATAATGTCAATGTCTCCCATCATAACCGCTCTGTAGTAGAATCCAAAAACGGCAATAGTTCCTTTCAAGACGACGGTTGTTGGAGTGGCAGTCTTCTCAGTGACACGGAAAAGAAGAGTAATGACGGAGAAGATGCAGATGTCAATTCCAGATCCTGCGAAAGCGTCAAAGATTCCTCCAATAATTCCAGTGAAGAAGAGAACCCATCCTTTCCAGGCACAGAATTCTGGAATCTCGCGGAATGTGGATCTCTTCTTTTGAGCGTTTAGGATTCCCAAAGCGAAAGCAAAAGCGGTCCAGATCGAGACGAAGAGCATTTTCTTTTGTGGTCCGGAGAAGAGTGGGTCAATCCAATGGACTCCAACAATAAATCCTGGAACTGCTCCAAGACATCCGATGATGACAGCACGATGTTCAAATTTGACTCTCATGAAAAGGACGCAAACGAGAGCAGAAGTCATTCCAATCGACTGAATCATCAAAGAGAAATCTCTGGCAATTTCTGGTTTGATGTGGAGAGCAAGTGTCATGACTGGGAAGGCAACAGCTCCAGATCCTTCAGAAGTCATTCCACCGACGAATGATCCAAGTGCCATGGTAACTGGCATGTGCCAGTAGTCATGATAGTATTGGAAGAGGTTGTGGCGAATTGCAGCGGACCACCAAACAGTCTCAAATTGTCTAAATTAGTAAAGATGCTATCGAATTGTTAAAACTTACATGGATCAGAAGGAATGGGATGAGCATGGCAACGAATTTTCTGTATTTAATGAATATAAAATCTCCGAAGGTTGGATTCTCAGGAAGATTGGTGAGTTTGTAAGCCTGATCCTCATCGAGATGCTGACCTGAAATGATGTTTTGTTAAAAAATAAGTAAATTTAAAACTAACCTTCCAAGAGATACTTTTTGCACCATCTCTTCACTTTTCCACCACAAGTGAGAGGCTCTTCATGAGTATATGGAGTCTTCTCGAGTTCCATCGGACGAATTGAGGTCATTTTCAGCCAAGCGAGTGTTGAAACACAGAAAGAAGTTGGATGATGATGATGGTTGGAATGTTTGATCGTGATTTTATATATGATCAGAGTTATGGGCGGTACTTGAAAGTAAGGTACGGTAGGCGGGCTGGTGGCATCGGAGATGATTGCAATGTCCGAGACAAAGAGGTCATGTATGAGCCTTTAAAGTGGGCGGAGCTTCCGGCCGATTCTATCCCTTTTTGGTCTAATTCTCTTTTTCTCTCAACTTCATCGATGACCTCGATGTGATTTGTCGTTTATTGCTGAACGTTGAAAGATCAAAAATGTCTGGGTTTCTGGAATTTGAACGCTATTTAGGCACATTTTTGTATAATTCTCTGGAGGCTCCATTGGAAAGATGAAGAACTGAAGAAGTGACGATGGCTTCAATATTCACGTCGAGATTCCACCCTTCGTTTCCTCCTCTATCTATGCATAATTTTTTTTGGATGATTGTTTAAATTTGCATGTTTCGGTCATGAAGGCGTTAGTTTTTTCAAGGTTATAGGTCATTTGAGACATTTGGCCACATTGGTTGCCCGTACGGGGGTTCTTTTAAATACCGTATCCCATAGGATCCTATAGGATATATATATGAAGTTGTGATAACTTTTGAATTACATTTTGCACTTTGAAAATCTACTTTGAGATTTTAACCCGATTCCAAGGATTTTCGAAATCTGTTTATCAATTTTTCGCAATGTTGATTCCGAAATTCCGAAGGATTCCGAAATTGCGAAACTGCGAATTTTCGACATTTGAAACCGCGACGCTTCGAAACCAGTTATTTTGAAACCGTGGTAGTACAGGTGAATGAATAAATTTCAGACTACAAAAAAGATTTCAAAATTTTCAAGTATGCTTTTTCTGATGCAATCCATCAGATATCGAGAAAAATTACAAACTTTAATTAAATTTTTTTCGAATTTTTCGATTTTCAGAATGTGTTCCATCAGAAAAAAAATCATATTTGAAAAATGTTTTCGAATTTAAACTGAAATTTTAACTTTCTTTCTCGAAAGTTTAACGAGCTGACAAGGCTCATGTTTCTCTAGCAAATTACATGGTTATTTTTCCAATTAAAAAAAAACAAGTCTGAGAATTTTGGGATTGATTTGTTCTGGGAATTGGTCCATTACGATGGTCTTGGAAAATGAAAATTCGAAATTTGATGATAATTAATTATGGCTTATTTGCCCCCAAACTTACATGCTTTAAGAGACTTGATAAATATTTGAATTTTTAAAATCCAACGATAATTCTCTTCTTTTTCATTCAGTCTTTCATTATATTATTAAATTTGGAACACCCATACTGGAAACCATGTGTTATCCTCTGATCCGCCTAGTAACCAAACGATAACAAACTGTTCTGTTGTCGTCACAAAATCGTTCTAGTTTTTTTATTCTCTTCTCCATTTTTCATTTCTATCTGAAAACAGAAGAATAACAGGCGGATATCCGAGTGCCAGCCTTTTTCCAAATCTGATTCTATCCAAACTTTCAACGTCGACAAAGCGAAAATCGCCAAAGGAATCATGTTGATAGTGACTTCCCTATCCGAAAAACGATAAATTTTCTCGCTTTTCTCTCTCTAGCCTGTCCGCTTTTTTTCACATGAATTTTGCACTGACCAAGTGATACGAAGAGAGGAGAAGACACTAGTCGTTGGACGATCATCCCTCTTCTTCCGATTCGAAAAACTTTTAACGGGTTGTTGTGGTTTGGTGACGTCGAAACATCAAGTTTCGATCATAGAAGAGTTGAGAGATGAAAACGAAGAGACGATTGACCAATCACTTCTCTTCTTTTTTCTATTTTGGGTAGAGCGGATGTGTCTATTTGATGACTGATTTATTTTCATTCTTCTCATTGGAATCTTATCTTTTGGGTTCGAATGAAATTTGCAAACAGTTACAGTATACTTACCGATGGAAAAAATAGCTTTCGACCTGACAAAGAGTTTTGAAGATATCAAGAAGTAGTCCACTGACAAAACAATTATTATAATGTTCACAATATTTTTTTAGTTGGTCCCCGAGGGTATCCTTTATATTTGAGCTCAAAGTGGATGCTCAGAGTGTTTACGGTAATTGGTTCTTTCTGTCCAAATAGAATATTCCGAATGAAATGAAAAATTAGCATCCTTTTCAAATTCTTAAGCAATTTTCAAAATCATTTATTTTTTTTAGCTGGTTATTCAAAGACTCAAGGTTGAATTCAGCAAGTAGAGCTTAAGCCGTTCAATGCAAAATGACGAATTTTTTTCTTCTAATATAATATTTCGCTACAACTTTTCTTAGGATTTTGATAATTCTCCAGTATTTACAGTTTACGAAGCGGTTGCGATATAGCAGTGTGCGAAACTATTTTCTTTTCAAAATTTTGGAAAGTTCGAAATGACCTGAAACACAATCTTCGGAATTTCGGAATTCCGGAAAATCCCGATTTTTATGCGAAATTCAGAATTTTTGGAATCAAAAATCGAAAGACAAAAAGAAGTTGCTGAAAAACTGTTCCCTCTCGATCTAAAATCGGGATTTCCTTCCGGTATTTGGATATACATAACTCTTATAGCGCCACTATTTTCAGGATGTTTGGAGTTTCATTCCGAGAATTTGAGTTCCGCACATCCCAGATGTAGAGGTAAACTGTAAAATATGGATAGTGTGCTGGTACTCCAATTTTCCTGTGAAAAGCTATCAATAGTTTTTGGGTGCTTCTTTTTTCAAATCTAATTTTATATATTTCTATGAAAAATTTAAGTACTTCCGACGAGAATTCCAATATTTTTAAACTTGATAATAACAGTGAAACGATAGCACCCAAAAAGTTTTTCATTACTTTTCTATGGCTGAGCAGAATTTTGATAATTTCCTTCGACTGAAATACCAGGGTTGAATCAAATGCCTATGCATCATTTTTGATTCAAGCTATGTAGAACTAATTAATCCGATCAGAGCCTGCTCCATTCGATCACTTTTTCTTTTAGTTTTATGAAACTTTCTAAAATTCATCACATTACTCTCAATCGAGCTTTATCTTTGTTATTATTGAATTCTCAAGATACTGTATCGAGGAGAACATTCTCTTTGTTAACATATTATTTTACCTTGAACACACCTCCGTTACATTACAAACATCCGCTCTTGCGAAGAAATGGACAAAGAGAGGAAACTACCGTAACTCTCAAGGTTGTTCTTGGTTCCAATGAGTTGATAAGTCACTGATATATGAAATTTAAACTCTTGTTGACGACTTCATTTTTCTGAAACTTCTCTACCAATGTTCGGATGGAATTCAGAAAACAAAGAGAACCGGAAAAAGTGTTATTTTGATGGATTTTAGGTGACGATGTGATTTTTCTTCTGGGCAAATATTTGGTATTTGGGTACTAATTGGGTACTTACTACGTTATATGTATCGAAAATTAAATCACTGGTTTTTGCCATCTTGGTTGTAAGGGTTTACTGGAAGTCGTTTCTTGAAAACTGAATTCATGATTTGTTGAATGAAAAAGACTTTATTTAAGGCTTTTGGAGCTTTTCAGAGTATTTTTTTTGAGTTGCTGTGGATATCGATCTTGCATTTGTTTTGAGTTTCAAAAAAACAAAGCACTTTTACATCCGGTATGATATACCCTAAAACCTGTAATAGAAGAGCCTCCTTATCTTTAATCTTGATCAAACTTATCTCGGTTTCTGTAAAAGGTATTTTTTTTTCAAAGTTCAATTTAAATATTTGGCAGTATGGTATGTGTTTTAGTTTGCTTGGTGCAAGAATATTTTAATTTCTCAGAAAATCTACATTAGATATGTTCACAAGCTTCTAACTGTGACACACTTTCTCTATAATTATTTTTCAGAGGATGTGATACTTTCTGATGGTATAATGTTCTTGGCTTTCCCATGTTCCATCATAATTGAAATAGTTAGCGCATGCGGACCATATTTAATCAGTAACGTGTCGTTTTCAAGGAAATAACGACAAGGTAGCCCGTATTCGGATCATTTCGGAGTGCTTGAAGAACTGATTCGTATGCAAGTTGATATTCTTATTATAGAAACACCTGTAACGAACCCGTTGAAAAGCTAACTGATCGCTACAAGAATCAGTTTGTATAATATTTCACCTGTAAAGTTAACCTTCTACAGTTTCCCTAAATTTGATCCCTCCAAACGAACCGGATGCTGTAGGTGTTGTAGTAGAAAACTCTACTCTTGACACGTCATTTGTCCATTGTCTTGCCTCTGAATTCACACCTTTTGATATCCAAATATAGGAACAGAAAATGAATTGACGCCTGATACAAAAGGAGGTGTCGGCCAATCAGAAGGAACCGGTCCTTTCTGCACTCTGGGCTGTACTCAATCAAAGGAGAAAATGGTCGATTGTCGTTCAAAGAGAAGATGAAAAAAGGAGAAGGGATCTAAGAAAAATAATGATTAGACACCGTAGATAACCCCTTTTATTGCAGAAAATGGATAGATAGTGAAGAACGAAATTAGAAGAGGGTCATGTGTTGATTGCTAGAATATAAACATTTATATTTATAGCTACAGGATTGGAATGATTTGAAAATTTAGGAAAATAAAGTTGAGAGGAACGTCCATGAGCTGTTTCTAAGTTTGAGTCTGCGTTATCTTAAATCGAGTGAGCTGAACGAGACAAAAAAATTCAAAATTGCGATCTATCTCAAATATAGTGACAATTAAATATACGGTAATTTTTTCTAAGAGCTTAAGCGACCGCCAGGGGAACTTTTCGTAACACTTTCAGATCATCACACAAATCTGTGTATCAAGTGCTCAACTACTGGTGAAATTTTCAGATGATTTGTAGACATTTCGATATTTCGAAAATTCCGAAATCACAACATTCATAAACCAGGAAACACTAATAAACAAACAATTCAGATGTTTCTCTGAAATCAAAAAATACAGTGCGTTGCAAGTTTATATGTCCACCCTATTTTTCGACTGCCACGGGAGAACCGTCAACGTCTTCATATTAGGTATTGAAAACTCAGATTCAGAATCAAAAATTACTTATGGCTGCCAAATTTCAGAATCTGAAAAGGGGTTGGAACCAAGCAAAAGGGGTTGGAACCATGCCTCTCACTGGGAAAGAATCTTACAATGATGGAATCGACGACGAAATCGGAGAAGGTGATCCTAGAGCAATTTTTGATAATCCCCGAAGTTTATACGACAAGGGAGAATTGTCATTTTGAGATATCCCTCTGAAGAGAAAGCGCATCACACAAGGGGTTTCCTCCACCCCGTTCCTTTTTGAGATGTGGTCTGGATCCTTGCGCAAATCATCACAAAAGGTTAAATATCCGTCCACATTGAATATATCAACATCTGAAAAGATTTTTTGCAAAAATCAAATGTTTCGAATTCTCAAATTCAGGCTACGTTCGGTGGATACAGTCTCCTAGTGGGGTGTGCTTTCTTTTTGGAGGGATATCTCAAGATGCTCCCTTGTCGTATAAACTTCGGGGAATATCAAAAAGTGTTCAAGAATGACGTCATCCGTTTCCGTCGTCGATTCCATCATAGTAAGACCCTTTCCCAGTGAGATTTCGTCGTTTCTTTCGTCGTGAGAGAATCCCCTCCCTCGCATCAGCTGGTCCATTTAACGTGGTTCCGATCTGGAAAAACCAAAGTTCTACTATGGCTAGCTATCTCTCCGGGTCGAAATTTGATGGAGAACGCGTGGAGTGAGTTTTTTACCTTGCAGAAAGTACAGAACCGGCGGAGTGCTCAGGAATGCGATCGGTGCCGAATGATCAGATTCGGAGCAAAAGTTCAGGTTCTGCGTTGCCAAGTTTTCAAGAGATAATGTGATCCTGGGTTTTGATAATATCGAGGCAATGGGAATTCAGTTGGCTATTGAAAAACAACCACGTTGTCATCAAATAATGAATGACGCTATTCTTGTTCCGAAATCTCAACGAATTGTGGAAGTGCAAGTAGCAGGCATACTTGCTAAATCTCAGCCCGGCCCGAGTTGGCCCTGGTCCGACCAGGGTTGGCCCTGACCACTCAGAACATCCCAGACCGTACCAAATTGATGTCATATAACACATTAATGACATTAATGACTACTGCTGATGGACACCCCAGTCTTTAGTTTTTGTATTATGGGCACAAATGTTGAAATGGACCTATAAATATGCAACGGTCGCAAAAGGATGATTTTTCGAAAAGGGTCCATAACTCGGGTACTTTTTCAGATATCATTTTGAAATTTTGCAGACATAAGTAATTTTTGATTTTGAATCTTAATTTTTAATGTTTATTATTCATCTTGTACAACTCATACTTATTATTCATCTTGTACAACTCAAAATCGTTTCTCTCATGGTTTCTTGAGCACTGCTTCCAATTGTTTCTCCTTTTCCCGGATCGCCGCATTTTCTTTGAGTTGTTGTGACGAAAGTCCACCCTTTAGAAGAGTTTCAGCTTGATCAGAAATCGATGGTTCCGGAAGGGAAGATTTGGGCTGGAAATGAAGAAAATGAAGTTTAAGATTCTTTTGATTTATGTGCGATACTTTAGATATTGGAGGAAGTGAGGGTGAAGACTTTCCAGGCTTCTCATCAGTGATAACACCAGCATCATCATAATCGTCATCGTCCCAGTCGGATATTAATTCACAGTCGAAAAGGAACTGAACTTGTAAAGATTTAAAAGTTTCAAGAAAAATAGATATACCTTCATACATCTGTACCAGTCAAATCTAGTCGAAAACGGATCGCAGATGACTTGGGGAAGATTGTATAGATGGAGACAACGATAATGCACTGGAAAATTTAAAATTCGTTGAGTTAAAAACTCTCATAGCACACCTTTAATCCTGTCCTGCATCAATTGAATCAGTTCGTTTCCTTTATCTCTTCTCGTTTTCTCATCGCACGTCAACTCGTACTTTTGACACCATCGAGCAGTTTCATATCCATAACGACGCCAAATATTATCATAGGGTTCACAGTAGCAATCAATATCATGAGTAAATGAAATACAAGGATTCTTTTCACAATGTGTACAGAACCTCTTATAATGATTGTATTCCTTCTCACACCAATCTTCTGATGGATAGTTAGCATTTGCACATTGATGCTGGAAGAAATCAAATTTAATGAGAAGCGTTGGCTGTCTCGGCCATAGTTTTCTAAGAATCAATATTTTTGACCAACTAAAACAGGTATGGTAGAACTCGACAAGTACTACAAAATTATACTGTTGGGTAACTTTATCTTTTCAATGAACAAAGTGATAAGCTATGATGTGGCTGATCTGGGATGGGCTGGATACTGCCTGTTCTTTTGGCTCGTATCGTCTGGTACTTTGTTCAAAGAAAATATAAAGTTACCTAAGTAGTTTCAATTTGTAATATGTATCAAGTTCTATCATATCTAATTCATGATCCATGATATTTTTAGGTTAACTGAATTAATTCAGTTACCTTAAAAAAATTATCATTCATTCCTAAAGGAAACTATGTCACAGCCCGTTTTCAAGTCTGAAAAAAATTATATCTTTTTGAGTTTTGGTTGTGGTGAACACGTTTTTTTCAAGTATAGATTCAGAAAAGAACGGAACTAATAGTAATATATCTTCAATTTTTCTCGTTACTCGTTGATAAGCATTCCTAAATTTTCATCAAATATAGTGAGTTTCTCCTTCCCATACTTTGAAATGGCCTATAATCGAATTTACAGCACTAAAATGTGTCCGTGTGTGTTGATTGATAAACTGAGAAATGTTTTCGGCAAGAAAAAAAGAACTAGTAAAGAGACGAGTCAATCGAGTAACTCGGCAACAAGTCCAGTTGAACCAGGGGAAGATAAAAAAAAGGAGAAGAGCAAGAAGAGCAAGAAGAGCAATAAGAGTAGGAAAAGTGAGAAAAGCGAAAAGAGTAGAGGGAAGAGTAAAGGAAAGAGCAAAAAGGCGAGAAGTAATATCAAGAGTCCAAACAATCCTGGTTCTCCTTCTGATCACAACACTCCGAGTAGTCGTTGTAGTAGACCCGATCAGAAGATCACTGAAGAGGTAAGATTAAAGAATTTTCAGTTGTTCAAACATAAATTGTGCTCAGTTCCAGCTTAATGGACAAGTCATCCACAACAAGCCAGACCCGAAAAACTTTCTTCTGAGAGTTCTTCAATCAGAACGTCCTGACTTGATTGGTCCCGATTCGAAACTAGACCCCGGGGAGCTCAAAACATTAGATACGCATCTATTGAAAAAGGGCGAACTGAGAGATGGGATTGATATTCAGCTAGGAGATACTTGTAAAACGTAAACCGAGATTGATTCCGGAAATTTGAGAAAATCTCTTTTTTCAGTAATGATTCTTTAATGCTCGGTTCAAATGGCGAAGTGGAAATCAAATCGCTCTATGCATACGGTCGATTTGGATCTGTCTACATAGTTATACGAAAGAACGAGGATAGCAAGTTTGTAATTAATATAATTAGTCACTCTTAATATTTGATTATGTCAGAAATGGTGAAGAGCTACTGGATTCAATGATATTGAAAACGAGTCGTAGAATGTACGCATCGGCCAGGATGGAACACGAAATCAAAGTTTTAAAGTATCTCCAAGACAGAGAAAAAAATAGACCAACTCATATAGTTCCAATTATTTCACATGGGACTGCTGGTGGAACACCCTACTTTCTGATGCCAGCATTGGATGCAAATCTGGAGAAAATCAGACAAGAAATCGGTCATAAAATGCCATGGGTCGACGCATTTTACATTGGACAAGAGGCACTGATAGGCATTAAAGAATGTCACGATCTTTCGATTATTCATCGAGATGTTAAACCGACGAACCTATTGTTAGCAATAGGAAACATCAAAGCTTGGGTTCTCTCGGATCTTGGAGATAGTTGTCCGGTTGGAAAATCTAAAATTCTTTCGCCTCCAGATGCTCTAACCATTCCATATATTTCGAGATACGGACATGTGGCGACCCAAAAACCGATGAAGGCAACGATTGCAATGGACATCGAGAGTTGGTTTTACTTGTTTTTAGATCTGTGAGTTTTTTTTTAAATTGAGTTCAAGGTTCGTATTTCAGTTTCATCGTTCTTCCTTGGAAAAATAAAGTTGAAGAGGATGAAACTCTAGCTGCCAAAAACGCATTCTGGGAAAACTTGAGCAAATTTTTCGAGAAAAATTGCTCAAAACTCCCTCCTCAAATACTTCCAATCGCTCAAATCGTTGTTGACAGCTCAATTGAAAAACCGTACTCTCAACTAACTGCGATTCTTCGTGATGGCTTCAACAAGAACAATAAGACCTCTCCATGGAAACCAGATTGGATTGAAAAACGACCGAAAAAAGAACAGGCTCCAACCCGTCCGAAAACTACAGGAAAAGGTGAAAAAACGAAAAGTGGGATGGCTTCTTCATCGACAGGAACATCACAAACAACGGAAAGTGTCTCAAAGAATCAGAAGACGTCAGGAAAGCAAAGTGAACCAAAGAGTGTTTCGAAAAGTGCTGTGAAGAGTGTAACCAAAAAAGTGAACTAAATAAACTTGTGTTAATTAATACTGTATTTCTGATTTTGCTTTTAGAGCTGGTGTATATTTTTCTTTTCCATTGCTTCATTTTGTACAAAAAGTATGTAGATTCACAAAAAAATACGGAAAAAAAGTTTCTTAAAAATCCGAAAATAAGAAACCCGCATCGAAAAAGCGAAGTGGTGTCCGGTGGCCGTTAGTGAGTTTTCTAGTCCCCAGCCAGTGCGCGATAATTTTGCTTTCAAATTTTTTTCAAGGGGTTTTTTTCCTGATTTCCAACAGTTTCTTATCGATGTTTTCATTAATACAAAATATTTTTTGCAGAATTTTTAGGAAAAAAATTTCAGGGGAAAACCAGAGGACGAAAAAAAACCATCAAAATATCTACTACGAACATTTCGCGCGCTGGTCGGGAACTAGAAAACTTACCCACGGCCACCGGATATCACTTTGCTTTTTCGATGCGGTTTTTTTTTTCGTTTTTTCTTCATTTTTGTGTGAATCTGCATACTTTTTTGTACAAAATTAAGCAATAAAACTAAAACTTTTGCTTGAAAACAACAAACCTTATATCCCAAACAGAATGGAACTAATTGAATGGGAGGCGAGTCATCAGCACATGCCAATGCGAATGCGTCTATCTCACCCATACAAAGTCGATCCCTCATCATTTCGTTTCTTGGATTGCAGAACCAATTCAAACGCTTTGGAAACCTGTTCGGAATCACGAGAATATCTTTTTCTAGACTTTTCTCCTCTTCTTCCTCTTCCAATTCCTCTGGGAACTCGAATGGACCTGTTTAGAAATAGTCAAGTGAAAAAGAAGCAAGGAAAAAACTGGAACATACTGTTGACTGAAACTTGGGCATGAGAATGGTGGATAAGCATACAAATAAATAATAGTAAAAGAAAGAGGGAATGATAGAATTTCATGATGAATCAGTGATTGTGTGACCGAAAAGATCAAGCTATGTCATAAACGAAAAACTAGATAGTGGGAAACACCTGTGGACGCAGATCAAAAGAAAAAAAAACATCACAAGAAACAGATAAGCTTGTTAAGAAGAAAAAAACGACAAATTAAGTTTTGTGATTTTATATTAAACCAGCAAGCTGGTGCTTCTTCGGCGAGATTCAATCTATTTGTTTTCAAATGTTTGTCGCTTCGTTTCTCACTTTTTCTAAATAAAAGGGTCACGTAAAAATATATGTATTTTTCAATTTTTTCAAAAGTCCACAGACGGACACGAGGACGGACAGACGCCTCTAGCGTTTTATTAATAAAGAAGATTGTGTGTCCAGAGACCGTACTCGTGAACTTTTTTTTCAATTTTTGTAGTCTTTGAGAAAGTTTTGTCGTTTTTGTTTCGGATCCGGTTTTCAGAAAATAATTTTCCTATCTTTTCAAAAAATTTTCAGGGTCAGTTTTGAAAAACAATCTTCCAGCCGAAGAAAAAATTGGCAAAGGACGGAAAATCGTTCAAAAAATTTAGAAAAATTTCAAATTTGGACAACCAGGGACCTGAAACTATCCGACCCTTGATTCTTCGAGGATGCTGATTTGGACTATACAGGGTGGGGCAAAAGTTTGGCAACAAAAAGAGGACGTCATAACTTCTCGGAAAGTAGCCCAATCAGTTTCAAATCTTAACAGGACTTCATCAATAAGATTTGTAACAAAATTAAATCATAGTTGATTGTTTTTGACAGCTCTGTTTCCCATGGCGGGGTTCAATTCCTTTTGGTTGCGTTTATGCTGGCACGGGGGTGGTCTGCCGGCAAATGGTCCCTCTCCGTGAAAGGAATATTTTTGAGAGCCTCCAAAATTGTGTTAAGACAAACCTGAACACATGCTTAAAAATTTCCTTGCACGAAAAGTCCCGTCGTATTGTTGTCTGACTAGAGACAGGTCATCCTTTCTCGGGGATCAAATTGGAGAAATTGGCTTGGCACTCTTGCTGAACATGTTTTGTCGTCTGAGCAGGCGCTATATATTTTTGGATTGTCTATATATTTTTGGCTGAAATTGGCTTGGCACTCTTGCTGAACATGTTTTGTCGTCTGAGCTTTTTTTTCCCACCCTGTACAGAGTGAAATAACCTCTTTATAACATATAAACCTGGCCCAAAGAATAGGAAGTTTTTTTAATTTTCCGAAACTTTTCAAAAAAAAATTCATTAAAATGTGGAAATATGAGATTCCACATAATTTTAAGTATAACCAAAAAATTCAAGTTCTGAACCATCCTAGGAGTGGAGAAAATCACATTCGAAAATTGTCGATTTGCACTGAAAACTCGATTTTTGGTACTGAAACTGAAATTTCAGCACTTTAGAAGTTTCTCAAGCAGATTTCGAAAACCGATTATGCAAATTAGGAAGTCAGCTTAAAAGGTTCTCTTGTCAGATGTCCACAGACATCCAACAAGTGGTGATCCCAAATTCGAAAAAAAGGTGAACACGCAGTATCTTTTTTTGAAATTCAAACTTGCCTGGTTTTCATTTTGATAATTTTCTCAAATCAAATCTGCACCAATGACTGAGAAGAAACAATTCATTGCGACAGAACCATGTGATAAAGTGAATCCAAAAATCACGGGACCATCAAAATCCTATAATATTTTCCAGATCAAGTTCGTTGCGGAATCGCAAGATGAACAGAAGACGACTTTGAAAATCACGAATCAGAGTGAAATGAAACAGGCATTCAAAGTCAAATGTACTCGAAACGATCTATTCCGTATCAAACCATCGACTGGAATTCTCGATTATAACCAAACAATCACTGTGATCCTCATTTACAAGTAATTTTCACATTTTTAAATTTTGATTTTTAAATTCTTTCAGAGGTGGCCAAACAAAACCTCCGACTGAGAAACAACAATTCGGAGTCTATCACATTCCCGCACCCGAGAATTGCACTTGTGAAGGAGCATGGGCGGAGCATTATGGACCACCACAAGGAGAACATAAACTTAGAGTCGTCTGGAATGAATAAGAACTCTGACTAGCCAATAAAATATTTATTTAAAACATTTATTTATTGAAGTTAACATATTCCGCAAGTCTGTCCGCAATACATCCTAACTGTCGAAATAGCCGCAGTGTTACAAAAGTTTTGCCCAGCAACCAGTGCTGCACAATCTGTACGGTTATCCTTACATTGCTCACAATATCCACAAGTAGCTTTGCAATACTGACTTGCGAACGCTGGTGAAGAAGTGCAGACAGATGGATCCAAAGAGCAGCTGGGAATGGCATCGATGCATCCGTTGATACGGCAAAAACCACAGAAATTCGGACAATACTTGGCATAAATCGGGCGGTATGCGATGGAAGACTGACATTTATCCCAGGTTACTTCTTTGCAAATTTTCTCAATTTCCGGAGTGTATCCAGCAGGGATTGTCCATTCACAAGTATATTCTGTAGCTTTGCAACAATATCCGCAAAGTTTTGGGCAAACATCAACTGATCCTCGCTTGACGATATCATTCGGAGTCCATGCTCCCGATCCAGGTTGGTAAAGTCCGTCGGTTCCTTCCAGCATCCAACAATTTCGAGGACGGGAAGACGATCCACCAGGAAATACGATGGATCCATCCCCATACTGCCTTTCACATTCTTTATCTCGATATATATTTTCACATTGTGTTGCACGCTCAGACCAAACATACTGAAAATTAAAAGCAAAAAATACATATAACATTTGATTTGTAATTACTGTTCCATCAGGTAAAAGAGTCTTGCAATCTGCATCCACAGGGTCCGTTGCTAGAACTTCAGAAGTATGAGAAAAAATAACACTGACTAGAAAAATTAATAAAGCCATTATAAAGTTTTCAAATGGACTATAAAGTTTTTAATTTTATTTTTATTCGCGTTGTGGGGAAGAACTGTCAACTGTAGAAGTTCGAAAATTAACACACTGGGCATCTGTGCAAACAACGCCCTTTAGTATCAAACAGTATTATCGAGAAGCTGTTCAAATTTTTCTGTATGTATACTGTAAATGTGGGCGATTTTAAGAGATCACATATCACTATACGTATTATACTCATTATACTCATTGTTATACTCATTGGTATTATACTCATTTATCAAAACTTTCGAATTTCCCAACGGAAAGCTAGTTGCAGATGGAAAATGTCAAAGATAAAACTACCGTAAACTGAAAAACATTCAAACGATTTTCGTTTATTTTTTTGGCAGAAAAAGGATAGTGACAGACCGGACCGACTCAAAATTACTTTGGAACTGTTAAGAGAACGAAGAAGACAGCAAACTATGTGACATACTTTTCAACGAAAAAACAAAAACTTTTCAAATACAAATCTTTATATCAAAAAAGAAGTTCACATTTTTGATAAAGAACACGACGATCGGCTGGTGGCGGTTTCGGCTTCATTCCAATGAACGATTATGGGCCCAAGTAGCACGATTGATCGGTACGGGCCTTGAAGACTTGAGCTCCTGGATTGGTGCTTCCTCCGGATCCTCCTTGGTTGTTGTTGTTGGATGCACCCGATCCTCCAGAAGCGTAGTCCTCGCGAGCGTATCCAGAAGACGAGGCGTTGGATCCCATGTATCCGGAGCCGTATCCTCCAGCGGACATGTATGCGGACTTGTCAGCCATTTTTTGAGATGTTCTTGAGTTGTTGGAGCTCAGAATATGAAGATTCTACAGGAATCGCTTGTCTTTTATAGCAAATATTTTTTCAGATCTGGGGCATAGATAAGAAGAAAAATGATGATGTTACGTGGGCGTTTTTTCTATTGTTTCACGCATTAAAATATATTTTTTCTTTTTTTAGATTCTAATTATTTTTCAGCGTAAGTTCACGTTTTTATTTAGCACAGTTTTTTTCCGCTGCGGGGGAGTTCCTTGAAAGACTGCGATTTTTGGAAGCGATCGAGGGTCCCTAAATTCGTTGTGTTGAGCTTGTTGGAAAATTGGTAATATTGAAAATTTGTGTCAGATCTATTTTTATTCTTCACTTTAATTCCCTCAAACGGAAGTAAATTCAAACTTGTGATAGCATGGCTCCCTAATTTTCAACATTGAGCCAATTTTTCTCGGTTTCTGTGAAAGATATCAAAAAATGGTCAACTAATAAAATATTTTTGATATTATAACTAACATTTAATTTGTTAACTACTTTTTTATATCTTTCACAGGAAACGGTATATGGGCTCGAAGTTGACTGTTTGAGGAGAGTTCTGATAGTGTTTATGGTATTTCTAAGTTTTTGGATTTCTATCAATTATTTATTTCTTGCCTTTTATTTTTTCAATTTAAGACCCCAAAATTTTTTCGCGGCCCTTAATCCTTTTTCGAGTTTGCTAGGAACCTTCCATTTTTTTTTCCAGGGATCCTTGAAGTGAAAGAAAACCATATTTTCTTTGAGGATCAGACTAAGCAATTTAAAGCTCTTCAGTAAAACAACAATTTTTTAAAATTATTTTTATTTGTGTTCCCTACAAACTGCAACAATCCCAAAAATTCCCAAAAAATTCAATATTCCGTACTTATTTATGAAATTAGATCTGTGTTGTTCATTTCGGTATATTTAGATGTTAATTTCAAGATTAGATCCTGTTTTTTTTTAGTCCCAACAGTGATGTTTTCGTTTCGGTTTTTGTGTCTACCTAATATCGGATTAGCAAGCCCACGAACGAAATCCGTGGTTCATTGAACAAAAAAACAATGGATACATTTGAATTTCGAAAAAAAAACGACAAGGAGAAGGAAGAGGAAAAGCCCTTGGGACCCCGTTTTCAGGCATGTAGAAGCAGTGAGCCGTGAAGCTTGGACGGAGGTCAAGGAGGCGTTGGCGTTTTGTGTATTGGAATATCGATGAGCTAGATTATTCGACGAGTTATCTTCGTTTCGAAAAGTTATATTTTTAAAATATTTTTTCGGAAAATGCGGGTCTGGACAGCAACCTCGCCCAATTAAAACAAAAAATTTTGAGCTATGGTGTCCCCTAAAAATATATCGCATATTCCCAAAAATATAAAAAAATAGCGACATATCACATACCGTAACACTCTAATAGAATGCCAACCAAACCGTCAGTTTTGAGCTCATATATCTCGGTTCTTATGAGAAATATAAAAATTGTTCTACTAAAAATTTTTTTTGATATTTCAATGGAGCAGTTGCCAGTCGACTACTTTGCTATATCTCTTATAGGAACCGAGATAAACTAGGTCAAAGTTAATAGTGGAAAGCCCCTGTTCCTTAATCAACTTTAACTTTGAACCAATTTACCTCTGTTCCTGGAAGAGATATTAAAAGGTGATCAATTATCAAAATGTTTATCATAATATCAGAAACATTGTGTCAGTAGTTTTAACATCGACGTAATCTAAAACGGTTATAGAAATACAAAGAATACTTTAAATGGTTCCTAAACTCATTTTCTGTGTATTCCTTAGAATCCTTTTTCCATCTTTCCGAATTGGTCCTTCCCACAATGAGGAACTCATTTCTCAGTTCTTCCTACGACTTACATAATTTCAAACCGAATTGACATGCACTGCCTTCTGACTGCATAACTAGTACTACAGCTAACTTAACTAATTTTTTCAAATTCTCTTTTTTCTACTTCTCCTTTCTTTTCTCATATTTCTTTCATTTTCCCAAATTTCTTCACACAAAAAACACAGAGTCATCATCTTCATCTTTCCGAGTTTTCAAAAAACCGAAGATTCGTTGTTATTATTATAATGGGTAGAAAAAAGAAAAGTAAATGAATGTTGTGGATGATGGATTGAAACGAACCTGACAACATAAACATCACTTTTTTCTTTTTTCGTTTCTGAAAACATCATTAGAAATAAAAGATGCAAACTGATCCCAAGAAGAAAAAATAAAGCATGACGAACGCAAAAAAAGATGAATGGATACAAAAAGGATACTAACTGAAAGTGCTTTCTGAGTTATATATTCTGAGTTCGAACGTGTGAGATTCTAACATTTGGGAGAAGTTTTAATATTTTAATATACGATTTCGATTCTGCATGTGACGTCTCAAGTGGCGAATCTATGAAATAATCAAATTTTCGACAAACTTCCGAAAACATTACATTTCATCCCGAGAGTTTTATTTGAAGGGGGAATCCGACCAAAAATTTTATTGAATTAAAAATTACTACGAAATTTTAAAAAAAATCCAAAATCCTTGAAAAACGCCGTTCAAAATACACAGAAGGTTTCGAATAGGGACTAGGACCTGAATTCCCGCGAACTGAGAAACTTACTATTATGCCACGGCGGGCAGCCTCTCTTATATATGTATAGCAATTCTCCTGGATTATTCTGCTTTCATCTCCGCCATTTAAAAGACAGGCTGCCAGTCGCCGTGGCCTAGCTTTCGCACTGCTCGGGGATTCCAATCAGGAAAATACGTAACTTTTCCAATATTTTAATTCAACAAAAACATTTTTCAGATCCGATTTTTTTTTGTTTTTCGAGAATATATTCCATTGCTCAGACAGTCTATTAGCATGGAATTACTTTTAAAAAATAATTTTTCTTTGTTCCCCCAAAATAGTGTTGAGGGATGTATCTTGGTGCCCATGGATGTTTTGAACCCTTTCCGAAAAAATATCCATAGCCTCTGTCGAGATCCTTCAAAATGCCAAATACAGAAGCAGAAATGACGTGGTTCCTGCCAAATCGTTCCCTATTTAGTCATTCTCTGAATCACAACACCCTCTGAAATCTGAAAGTATGTTGAATCAGATTTCAATCTGTTTCCTCTATCATCATTCATTCATCAACCAACATCATCTCTCTTCCCTTTCATTCGTCCTACTCTTGCCTATTTTTCTTTTTGTTTTTCTGCATTCCACTGGAAATTTTTTGAATTTTCATCTCATGACTTGACCCTATAGAAAATGAGATGAAACAACACAGAAACGGAATTTCGAATAATAAAAAAAGTTCTGAAGAATTTTCTCTCTCGTTTTGGATGATGATGATGATAGACGCAGGCAATTTTAGTTGAGATCTTGAAAAAGAGGCGGAGCTTCTCGAGCTGACTATGAGGTGCTGAAGGTTCATTTCTCGAAGGTTCACATTTGTAAGTCCGCTGATAAAACGTGGCTTTGTTTGTGCTCGAGCCCACTATAATCACACAAAAGGAACTCATCAGGTTTTTTTGGAGATGACATTTTGAAAATCCCGTTTTTTTCCCACAAATCTAATTTGTATATTATTCTGGTACAAAATAATCGAAGCTGTGTAGGAAAAACGCAAGTCCCACAACTACCGTAACCTAAAAATATTTTTATTTTCCGAATTTATTTCCACTGCTTTTCGTAATTCTTTCTGTTAACATAAAATTTTTGATAGTTGAAAATAAAAACCTTTCTAGGTTACTGTAGTTGTCGTTGTGGGACCGTTGCCCACGGCCACCAGCGGGTCTCTTCCACAGCACTGATTATTTTGTACCGTAGAAATTGAGAGTTTTTTTTCAATGCTTCAGATTCCAAACTCCCGTTTAGATATGTTCGAAACCATTGAACACATTCAGATCCAATTCCAGCACAGAAGAACTTGAAAATTCATATATTTTTCTTTTTCTGGAACCGTGGTAATCATGTTTCGAACCTAATTATGGAATCTTCAGTAAACTGCGTACGTGAGAAAACGAAACTACGCTTATGGATCTTTTGTCTACAGAATCCGATTTCTGTTGTGAAGCATCTGTTTTGTGAAAAATGAGAATCCGATGTGGGTGTCAAAATGAAGGAAAGACTTTCGACATAATCAACAAAACCTTGTGAACGAATGTTCGCACGATGATCTCTCTTTTGAATTATAAATTTCGCGTTTTTTCCAATCTGTTATTTCGAAGGCGATTTTGAATATCCCTATTCTTGAGCGAAATTGCTCAATGGTCCGTGAAGATTCTGAAGTGACGAGTGTTTTTCTGAAAAGAAATCTTTGCAAAACAGAACAATGGTATTTGTTTTAACATTTCCATAATTCAAAAATGTAATTATTTCTTTCCCAGAATCCCTAAATCCTTCTGAAATGTCGTTTCTATACTAAAGAATCTTTCTGAATCCATCATCCCCCACATAATTTCTCATGATGACTTCTTCAGTTTTCTGATCCATAGTTTTTGAACAAACTCTTAGAAATCACAAGACAATATAGCTAATAAACGGTAGTTCTTTAAATCAACTTCCTTGAGATTGTTTTTCCAAACGAAGCCAATTTTCAAAGGTGACTTTCAAGAATCCGCCCGTCTTAAGAGGAGAATTCTCCTACACTTTTTTTTCTCTCTCTCTCTCTCTCTCTCTCTCGCTCTCTCTCTCTCTCTCTCAATGTTTTAGTTTAAACATCACTTCTAATATTTTAACATTTAAGTTATTTCTTTGAGAATTTCTTATTGCATTTCGCTCTTTTCTTACCCGGGTTCTGCAGTTTACTTCCTCTTTTAATAACCTTTTCTGGGAAGTACCTCCTGTTAGTGATACTTTGAAAATTCAGAAAAAATTGAATTCAAACTTCTCTCGAGTTGAATTTTCTACTTACAAGCTACCTAAATTGAAGGCACCGTAATCTAATAATCTAGTACTCGCGGTTTCCGGAATATGATTTTTTTTTCGAATCTCAATTAGACTACCTCTTAAAATCAACATTTCGTCCCAAACTTAATTTTTTAAATTTAATTGTTACAAGAATCCACTCAACATGTACTTGTTCGCTTCTACCAACGAATGGTTCACACCCATTCAAGTTTTCATCCAAGTTCTCCAAAAAATCTGAATTTTATTTCGTCTAGTCAATCTGTCAATTTCTGTCTGCTCGACTAGTTACGTGTGAATTTTGAATTAAACAAAAGTGGACTTAGAAAAAAAACTAACATGAATCATTCTTTTTTTCCAGAGAGTTGTTCTCCTGGCTTATATCTTTTTCCATTAAATTTTTAAAATCGAATTGAACCCAAAAGAGAGAATAAAAATTGTTGGTGCATACAAAATGAGTTCTCGGGCGTCCTGAAAAGAAATTCATGTTTCGATGGACTACATGAAAAATATGTTCGTATTACTTTCCGTTTTTCTTTTTTCTAGATTCGACTAAAGTACCTTTTCCGGTCAACACAAATGGACTGTAAAACTACATCCTATTGTTTAAAGTCCAAAATAATCGAACTAATAAGATCCCACAAGTTTTTCATCGTAATAACCCAGTCGGCAACTTTTGAAGGAGAATTAAAGGGGCCATCATGGGATATAAGGAAAAGTAACTTTTGGTTTCCAACAATGATAAATTTACATATTAAAGGGGGACTCCGGCTTAATTTTTCTGTATTTTTAAAATGTTCTCAAAATCATGTATTTCCTTAATATTACTTCGAAAAAGTTATAGCAAATGTTCAAAATCGAACTCGAGCTCTCAATTCTCGTCCAAGTTGTTTTCATGCAATTCTTTCTGTCATTTGTGAGGTCTACGAGACTTTTTTGATCTCTTCATCGAGTGTTCTACTTAATAATTCAATTATTTTCGAAAAATACAGAACAAACGACAGGAAACCGAAAAATTGTAAAAAATCGCAAAAAAAAACAGCGCACACCGTAGCTTTGGCCTAGGATTTCCGAGACCCTCTGTTGCATTCTTGACGGCGTTTACAAGGATTTCGGAATTTTTTCTGCGTTTGCACGCTATTTCAAAGAACCTGGTCGGAAAACGCGCTCCAGCGAACGTGAGAAATCACTGGCAATGGAAAAATCGAAAACACCGTGGCAATGGAAAAATTCAAAATGGTCCTGGGAGTCTGATATTGTATGTGGTGGGTATAGGGGCTACTCTAAAACTTTTGACCATAGTACCCATAGGCCACGCCCCCTCCTGGCCGCGATATAATACCGTAACCCCGAACAAACTTTTTTGTTCAAAATAATGATATCGACTCAAAAGTTTAAGATTTTAGTTTCTGGTACTATTATGACCATTTTTTGTGTTGGGACCAATTTTCTACAGTAACCCTGAAGTAGAGAAAATTTCACTTTTTTGAATTTTTTTTTCACTTTTTTTTTGAAATTTCTCAAAAATTTCTCATTGGTTACCGAACCAAACCTTAAAAATTCAATACTTTGAACCTATTTACAGTATAATACCATAATGACATAAAAAATTAGGGGGCCCTTAAAAGGGTTATTTTCGAAACCAACTTTGGTCAAAAAATGAAAATGAAGATAATGATTTGATATAAATTGGAATGGATTACACTTGCTATTTTGAACATTTTTTGTGTTCAGAATAAAATTCTAACTCGTTTCCTTTCAGCTGAAAATTTTGATTTTTTATCCGACTTTGAAAAAAATCACTGAAAATCTGTCGTTGCGAAAATTTTAAAATTAGTCTAGAAGAGATAATGCCAGATTCAAAACCAGCGTAAAAAATAACATTAGAAAATGTCAGTTTGAGTTTGCATATCTTGAGCACAAAATGAGTTTTAGTCCAAAAAGTGCGAAAACACTATGTGGGGGAGCATGGCAACAAAAACTCTTTCAAAATCGAACATATCCGATTGTGATGAAATTTGTACCATATGTAGTATTTTTGATGGGTAGTATTCTGGCAAAGTTTCAAAATTTCTACTCATCGTCTTCGTGCTTCTTTGCAACGCTAAGTTTTTCCCTGAAAATAGACTTGGAAGCAATTTTTTCCGCTTTCTGGTGCTTCGGAAAATGCACGAAGACGATGAGATCGGATTTTAAAACTTTTGCCAAAATACTACCCATCAAAAATACTACATCTGGTACAAATTTCATCACAATCGGAGATGGTCGATTTTGGAAGAGTTTTTGTTGCCATGTACTCCCCCACATGGTGTTTTCGCACTTTTTGAACTAAAACTCATTTTGTGCTCAAGATATGCAAACTCAAACAGACATTTTCTAATGTTATTTTTTACGCTGGTTTGGAATCTGGCATTATCTTTTCTAGACTAACTTTAAAATTTTCGCGACGACAGATTTTCAGTGATTTTTTTCAAAGTCGGATAAAAAATCAAAATTTTCAGCTGAAAGGAAACGAGTTAGAATTTTATTCTGAACACAAAAAATGTTCAAAACAGCAAGAGTAATCCATTCCATATTATATCAAATCATTATCATCATTTTCATTTTTTGACCAAAGTTGTTTTCGAAAATAACCCTTAACAGGTCCCCCTAATTTTTATGTCATTATGGTATTATACTGTAAATAGAACCAAAGTATTGAATTTTTAGGGGTTTGGTTCGGTAACCAATGGGAAATTTTTGAGAAATTTCCAAAAAAGTGAAAAAAAATTCAAAAAAGTGAAATTTTCTCTACTTCAGGGTTACTGTAGAAAATTGGTCCCAACACAAAAAATGGTCATAATAGTACCAAAAACTGAAATCTAAAACGTTTGAGTCGATATCATTATTTTGAACAAAAAAGTTTTTTCGGGGTTACGGTATTATATCGCGGCCAGGAGGGGGCGTGGCCTATGGGTACTATGGTCAAAAGTTTTAGAGTAGCCCCTATACCCACCACATACAATATCAGACTCCCAGGACCATTTTGAATTTTTCCATTTTTCCCACCCGATCTAAATTTTCTCAGAGAATGTGTCTTAAATTTCTTCTGGCCTAAAATTTTTTGGGCGCGCGATTTTTGACTAGGTTCTTTGAAACACCGTGCGTTTGTTCATTGGGATATTAGGAAAATCCATAAATTTGGAAACATTTTAATGCCAAAAAATGTTAGGTCGGAGTCTCCCTTTAAAATCTAAGTTTATCAATCTTCGAAAAAACTCTCTTCCAAACCAAACGTTACTTTTCCTGTCATATCCCATGATAGGTGGACACATGAGATTTTCATGAAATATTTGTTGAATTTCGAATGATGGTCTAAACATTTTTGAGGTTGAGAGGTAAGTCAAGTTTGATGTATTTTTTTCACGAATTCATGCGGATGTGGAGGGCGGTACGGAATGTGATTTAGATTTTCAAGTGATGTATTTTAATTTCCTTGTTCAGTTTTTCAATGAAGCATTATTCGGAGGATGAATTACTTGTTTTTTCTCTCATCACACTTCTTAAAAATATTTTTCCTCAAATATGTTTTCTGATACTAACTGGTTCATTAGTAACAACTAAAATATGTGCTGAAAAAACGCCTTCGAAAAATATGACGTGGCTATTCTAATCAGATCAGATATTCAACAAGTCTTTTTAAGATCCACCCACCACTATTTATCATCAAGTTCCAAAGATTTCGGATTTCTCCGATCGTCGAATTCATTGCTCTGTGAACTTTGGGTTTTCAAAAACTTCTATCTGAATACATTTTATTTAAATTATTACTCGATCTCAATTTTTCTCAATTTCTTTTTAATTGTCTAGTACAAAATTGATTTTCTAGACGAATGCAATCCATGTGGCGAACACTCATACTCTCGACTATTTTACTCGTTTCCATCACATCTGCATGCAACAAAAATGGAGAAGGATGTTTGTGTAAGTTCATCGGACATAAAAGTTTCAGTTGTCAAATAATTTCCAGTAATGAGGAACGTTCTCCGTGATCCACTTCGTCTATCAACTTGGAAAGTTTCCTCACTTAATCGGGCAATCAATCAGCTTCAAGCATACCAACAACTTTTCCATGGTTAGTCTAGATAGACCATTCCAAAACAAAATTCAAAGTAATAATTTGTTTTCTAGAAGACAAACGATCATCTTCGAATGACTATAGTAGTCAATTCTCGGAAATGATGAGACGTCGTCGACGGTGATGATGGCAATGAGAGTTGATGCGAGCTAATTCTCTCCTCTTGGGTTTCACCATGTTCTTCTTCTTCTGATTCCATTTCCATTATCTGCTCATTTTCTGCATCTGTTACTCCTCTTTCTTTTTCGAATATTTTCGATTATATTTCCCTTTTGATGCCGATTTGATGATAGTAACCTAAATTTTTCCTGTTTGTGAAAAGATGTGAAAGAACTGATAAACTATGTTTTCTGTTTTTGATTGTTCCTATTTCTTTTACTTTCTTTCAGTATGGAGAGCGCATTGGATGATTTCAAACGAATCAGAGCTCGGTTCGTTCAAAGGAAAGTTCTTAAGTTTCAGTTTGAATTATTCACGAAGTTTGAAAATCACACCAGAAACATCTGGGGATTCTACCAACAAGCGTTAGTGGGTGATGTCAATGTTCCGAGTGGGTCAGAAAGTATTTTCATCCGATTTTGACAACATATTTCAGAGTTGAACTACATGGAAATCGACGAAGGAGAAAAGTCGTGGATGTGGAAATGGATCAACGGAAATGAGAAATGGCATGCTTGGAACAAGTGTAGAGGTAAACAAAAATGATAATTCTGTTGAAATATCAAAAGTTATAGGGCTCTCGAAGGAAGAGGCATCGACTCAATTTGTCGAAGCTGTTCAAAAATTGAAGTTAGAAATATATCAACTCCTATCCCAATGGAAATTGGAAATCAGCAATGACCCAAAAGAAGTAGAGTCAAACACGGGCGATACCCCATACACTGAATAAATATTTTCTAATTCAATACACATTTTTATTCAAATTTCAAACGGCAGGTTTTCCACAAACATATCCTCTGAATCTATCATTCCACGACATATGACAGACCATCGAGAAGAATTCTCCATGACGACGTTGTCTAACTTGTTTGCCTCCTGGAACCCAAATCCACATCATCCCACAGTTATTTCCACCGCCACTGAAAATATATATATTTTTTTTTTCATTAGTTTTCTTCTAACCCATAACTTCCTTGATTTGGTTCTCCTCCACTCCATTTGACAGCATTCAAGCCTTTAGCATTGCCATCTGTTATGTAGAATGGCTGTAATGTCAAAGTTATTTTCTATAATTCCATGGATGTTTTCAAAAGATTCCAAATTAAATTTGTGTTCACAACTAACACTATGCAATGTGTCTCTCTTGATTCCAGTTCTCAGAGTTCCAAACTTCCACGCAGAAGTAGTCGTCATCATAACTCTTCCTAATTCAGCAATAGTTTCCCTCTCCTCATGATTCTCCACAGCTGACAATCGGGCTCCATGTTGAGCACATAATAATTCTGCTTGTGGTTGATTTGTCATACCAACAAATACTTTTACACACCATCCACCACTTTGCCTATGGACTCTTGTCCATCCGGGTTCACATTTTGTTTCTGGTCTCTCGGTTACTGGTTGATGTTTTGGAGGTCTTCCTCCATGATGTCCTCCACGCCCTCCGGAATAATATGAAGATTCGTGAGATCCAGAGCTTGAATCATCATCAAAGACAATGGAATTAACTGAATTGTTCTTGTTTTTTTTGGAATTTCAGGGAACGCTTACCAGTGACAAAAAGAACGCCAAAAATCACAAGAAACCTCATTGCGAAACAGGAAAAGCAGTTACGGTTGCAAGCCTTTATACCAGGGCTGAGCAAAAAATTTTCGGGAGGAATAAAGTTTTCCGTTTTCCGGTAGGTTTCGGATAATAAAAGTTTGGTGAAATGAACTTCGAAGCTCTGGAAACGGAACATTTTCGGACCAAAAAATTTTTCGTTGAAACTTTTTCCTCTGACAGTTGCATAGTACGGGCAATTCTGTAAAAAACAGGGTATTGGCAAAAAAAATTGACTTGGATTAACTTGAGATTTTCAAAATGTTTCGAGAACCTTCCGGAAAATCTCAAAAAATTATGATATTTCGAAAATACGTTTTTAATTGGAGGTAATTTTCATTTCAACCCAAATATCAGCTTTTTATTTTTTTTTCGGATGTCGTTTTTCGCTCAGCCCTGCTTCACCATGCCCATAGCCTTGCAGAAACTTTTTGAAAGTGATCTTACATAATCAAACTACGAAGATTTTCTAATAGTAAGTTTCAAAAATCTATAGTCACAGTTTTGATCTTTATGAGTTTTCAGCTGGAAATCACCAAAAAATTTGATACCAAAAATCTTAATTTCAAACGACCCGTTTCTTCGAGTGCCTATCACAGGCATAATGCTCATGCAGGTTATACGGTATTTTTGTTATTTTCTGAGTACTATCAGAATTCTGATCTATCAATAGTTACCAGAAAACTGTAAGTGATCCAAATCCATGTTCTTCAGTTAATGTCCTATGAGGACAACTGTAACTAATAAAATCACTGGATTCTCAGCTCTTTTTTGTTTTACTTCCAAGATTGTCGTCTCTTCAAGACTACACGTCAGATTCACAGGATACTCAACATTCAAAATTAAAAGTTTTATTCAACAGAAAAAGAAATAATTATTGGGCCTTTTTTCCACAAACATATCCCCTGAATCTATCGTTCCATGAAATATGGCAGACCATTGAGAAGAATAGACCATGTTGACGTTGATCTACTCGTCTGCCTCCTGGGACCCAAATCCACATCATTCCACAATTATTGTTCCGGTTGAGACCGTTAATCGGTTCTCCTCCACTCCATCTGACAGCATTCAAGTCTTTTGCATTTCCATCTGTTGAGTGGAATGGCTGTAATTTCAGGAAATTTTCTATAAATTCTTAATTTAGATTTTGAAATTTACAAATCAGATGTTCATAACTCACACTATTATTTGAATCTCGCACGACTCCAGTTCTCAGAGTTCCAAACTTCCACGCAGAAGTAGTCGTCATCACAACTCTTCCCAATTCAGCAATAGTTTCCCTTTCCTCATGACTCTCCACAGCTGACAATCGGGCTCCATGTTGAGCACATAATGATTCTGCTTGTGGTTGATTCGTCATACCAGCGAATACTTTTACGCACCATCCACCACTTTGCCTATTTACTCTTGTCCATCCGGCTTCGCATCTTGTTGGTCTCCGGGTTACTGGTGGCCTATTTGGTCTTGGAGGTCTTCCTCCGTGGTTTCCATGATTTCCATTATGACCATGATTTCCTCCACGACCCCCAGAATATGAAGATTCGTGCGATCCAGAGCTTGAATCATCATCGAAGACAATGGAACTAACTGAAAAAAATTGCTCTTTGTTTTTGGAATATCAAGACATTCTTACCAGTGACAAAAAGAACACCAAAAATCACAAGAAACCTCATTGCGGAACAAGAAAAGCAGGTGAGGTTGCAAGGTTTTATAGTGCCTAGAATTTTGCGGAAGCTCTTCAAAAGTGATCTTTCAAAATCAAACTACGAACATTTTCGAAGTGTCAAAAACGTATTTTTATAGTTTCGATCTCAATGCGCTTTCAGTTGAAAAGACATAGAAATCTTTTGCAATCTTCTCGGTAATCCTAGTAACGTGAAACATGAATGGTTTACACTTGTAATGTTTTGATCTCGAGGTACCTCCGGAATGATGTTACAAGGGTCCTTCTATTTTTCCGGGACTTTTTTCTGAGAAGCATCGCCGAAAATTTTGGTTTATTTTTGTTCAGAACATATAAACGTTTAAATTTCAAATGGTCCGATTCTTAGACTGCCCTTCCATGACAGAGATCCTTTAAATCCAGGTTTTACGGTATTGTATGTATGTATCTGTTTTTATGAGAATGTTTCGAATCTACCAATAAGTATCACAAAACTGTCTGTGATCTACACCATGAATACCGTGAAACCTGTAATAGAAAAGCCGGACCTTCTAATGTTCCAAGGAACCTCCGGAGGACCCTTCTATTAGAGGGGCCTTTTAATTACAGTGGCCCTTCGATTTTTGTTTGAACCGCATGAAAATCCATCAATTTCACCAAAAAAATCTAGCAAGTTTTTGCCGAAAAAACTGTGTTTCAACACATTTTTGTGAGATTAATTTCAGGAACATTTTTCACGAAAGACACACGGAAGTTTTCAATTACAAACAAAAAAAATTTGAAGAGGGCCTTACCGTATTTCTCCAAGCTCTTCCCAGAGGGCCCTCCCATTAAATAGGTCCTTCTAATACAGGTTCTACGGTAATACTAGTTTTAAAACAAGTTTTCCAAATAAACTTATTCGAAAAAACTCTGATTTTTTGAAGTTTTTGATTAGTACAAAAATAAAAAGTTTTAGAAAGCAATAGAGCGTTGAAAACTGTAAGTAATGGAATCACTGAATTCTGATAGTGAGATATATATATACCGTAAAACCTCTAATAGAACGACACCCGGATCGTCCACTTT